GGCAGAGGGACGGGGCGTGAGATTCCTGGCTGCAGCAGTCTGGACTGGGGTCTCCGCCTCGCTGAGCTGGGAGGTGGGACAATCAGGTTTGGTTTAAAATACCAGATTCTCAACTTTCCCTGCAGAATTTTCTTATATTTTCTTGATTAAATGTTTCTTCATTTACTAATTCTGTCCTTAGAGTCATTCTTGTAAGTTTTAGGTTAAGTTTTTAAAAGATATTTATTGCTGTGTTGGGTCTTCCTTGATGCACGAGCGCTTTCTCTAGTTGCAGTGATCAGGGGCTATTTTCTAGTGGCAGTGCCTGGGCTTTTCATTGCGGTGGCTTCTCTTGTTGTGGAGCATGGACTCTAGGGCATTGTGGGTTCAGTAGTTGGGGCTCACAGGCTTAGTTGCTCACTGGCATGTGGAATCTTCCCGGACCAGGGATTGAACTCGTGTCCCTGGCAGGTGGATTCTTAACCCTGAGAACATCAGGCAAGTCCCTAGAGATTTTAAATGGTTACTTTTAATACTTCTCACCAGTTACTGGGGAGCAGGGTCAGCAGAGCTCTTCAGGCTGTCTTAGCAAAAGTTGCACCCTGCACATTTAATTCTTTAATATTGTCATAGAATTCATTTTTCTTTTTTGGTGGCACCATGGCAGCATCTTAGTTCTCGGATTAGGGGTTGAGCCCATGTGCCCCCCCACCCCCACCCCTACAGTGGAAGCACAGAGTCCTAACCAATGGATTGCCAGAGGATACCCCCACATTTAATTCTTAAAAGCATAGGTTTAATTAGGACTGCTGAAAAACTTACATGTACTGATTCAATACTTCCTTCAAAGCCCAAGGTCTTAGAGATCTGCTTCCAACTTAGATCTGATTTTACTTCCCACTGGACTTGAGTCAGTTTGAGTTCCTTCCAAAGAAATGCTGCCTTTTATGTCTCATTGTCTTTGCTTGTAGCATTCTACTTTTCCTTCCCCAAATCTCAGCACACATAAATCCTACAAACCCATTTCCAGTGTCACATGCTCCATCATCTCCCTACAATTCACACGCCTCTAATCAGATGTAGTGATCATCTGTATAATTGCCTAACAAAGGGAAGAAAATGACATCCATAGGAAATCTACCAAATGCCAAACTACATTCACCATTCAGTTGTTTCATTTGATTATGAAACCCTACAAAATAGGTATATTGTTGTTCAGTTGCTAAGTCACGTCAGACTCTTCGTTACCCCATGGACTGCAGCACAAGACATCCCTGTCCCTCCCACCTCTTGGAGTTCACCCAAGTTCATGTCCATTGAATCGGTGATGCCATCCAACAATCTCATTCTCTGCCGCCCTCTTCTCCTTTTGCCTTTAAACTTGCCTGGCATCAGGGTCTCTTCCAATGAGTCAGCCGTTTGCATCAGGTGGCCAAAATATTCGAGCTTCAGATTCAGCACCAGTCCTTCCAATGAATATTCAGGATTGATTTCTTTTAGGATTGACTGGCTTGATCTCCTATGCTGTCCAAGGGACTCTCAAGTCTTCTCCAGCACCATATTTCAAAAGCATCAATTCTTCAGTGCTCAGCCTTCTTTATGGTCCAACTCTTAACATCCATACATGAGTACTGGAAAGACCATAGCTTTGACTAGACAGACCTTTGTCGGCAAAGTGATGCCTTTGCTTTTTAACAAACTGTCTAGGTTTGTCAGGCCTTCCAAGAAGCACACTTTTAATTTCAAGGCTGCAGTCACCATCCGCAGTGATTTGGAGCCCAAGAAGAGAAATTCTGTCACTGCTTCCATTTTTTACCTTTCTATATGTCATGAAGTGATGAGACTGGGTGCCATGATCTTAAGTTTTTGAATGTTGAGTTTTAAGCCAGATTTTTCTATCCTCATTTTAAAGATGAGAAAACCTGAGATATAGACAGGTTAAATAATTTGTCCTAGTCTTGAAGCTGGTGAGTTTTAAAGCCTAGATTAGCATAGGCAGAGTTTATACAGTTTCTTTAGCTTGGGGGTCAAACATGTATGAAATTACATGCAAATGTTTTACTCAGCATGTGGTAGCTATTATCTTCTTCCATAGGTTGGACACACTGGTTTGCATATAGCAGATATATGTATTTGCTAAATTAATGCATTTATGAATGTTCTGATAAAAACCATTCTGTATTTCAAACTAAGGCCAAGTACTTTTTAATTTTACACTTTGAAATAGCCCAATAATCCTATTTATAAATGTCTTATGAAATTGGTATTTCAATCTAACCAATTGTTCCTGTGCAATTAAGTCATGTCCGATTCTTTGTGACTCCATGGATTGTAGCATGCCAGGCTCCTTTGTCCTTCACATCTATATTCTACTACAAAAACACCAATCAACACAAGAACATTTAACACAAATGTAGCCAGAGCTCAATATATTATTATTAAGCACATTAAAAAAATGATTCTTTTGACTTTTCATTAATATTTGATCCAAGGACCATAGTTGAACTGTCAGCAGTTATTCCTTTTTTTCTTGGCTACACTGTGCAGCTTGCAGAAACTCGGTTCCCAACCATGGATTGACTCCAGTGAAAGCCCGGAATCGTAACTACTAGGCCGTAAGGGAACTCCCAGCAATTCTTCATTGACGAAATTCACTCTGCAAAAACTACTGAAGAGAAATGTGCAATATGATTAACAAATCAAGGCATATTTCTAGTTTACGAAAACATGGAAGTGTATTTTTTCACTAAATTTGGCATTCATTTATATCGCAGAACTAGTGAAATCATAAGAAATGCAAAATATAAGATTCCTCTGTTAAGTATTATCCTGTCATTTCAAGCCCAACATAAAGAAATGGCCTTGTATAGTATAAAAGTGAGCTCCTATTGTTTAATTATTCCTAATAAAAAAATTCAAATATTCATCAGTGGATATCAAATAAATAAGTCAAGTGACATAATTCTTTATTCCCACTAGGAGGAAATCAGACAAATAAGACATTATGTTCCATTTCAACCAAGAATTTTAAAAGTTAAGAATAAGTGACCAGAGACACAAGTGAAAAAGATATAAACAAATTCTACTAGTAAGATTTAAATATGGTACTATACAAAGATTTAAATATTTTCTACCTCATGCTATTTGTTACTGGAGTGTAAAGAATCAGAACACTAGGAATTTATATTATCAGACATTATTTTACTTTGAAATTAGGCCTCCTAATATAAAACAATATAACTCATGTCTCTCTATTGCTTGTCCCTTGGAATAGTGATTCTTTAACACGAATTTGATTTCTCTCTAAAAGGGAATTAATTCTAACTAGTATTTTCAGATACTCAAATTATTGATGAATTCATAGGTGAAATAACTGCCTGCACCGGTCAGATGTGGAGAAACTTCACCTTATATTTAAGATAATTACTTTTTAGGCCAAGAGTCCTCCCACAAATTTTAATGCTGCTACTTATCTCTAAATCTAAACATATGCCTGCCAAAATGTAGCAATCCTTTTTTGAAGTGTTCAAAAGACATGCAAAATAATATTATCTTAAATTAACATCTATAAAAGTAAATTTATAAATATAATTACATAACTATGAAATGATTCCATGAAAATGTTTAGCAGACATTAGATGTACAAAAATGATACAAATTAAAGCTTTTTTACTAATAGTATTTGAAAGTTACAGACTAAAAATATTAATCCTATCCATTTCATAATAACTGTAAGTAACCAAGTCATAACCTCAAAAAGTTAAGAATATTAGAAGATGAAACTTATCTTTTTGATACTAATATTTAATAACTAATAAGTAGTTAGTTTTACTTAAAAGGAATCTACTCTTTCTTTTAACTAATTCTTAACACTGCCATTTTGCTTCTTTCTTTAACAAAACAGTTAAATGCCCTCCAATTATAAAGCGAGGTTAAACATCATAATAATTTACACTAAGGTAATTTTCATGGAACTTTAAATTTTGAAAAAGGAAAACACATCTATTCAACAGGAAGACACAATCTTCTTTATTAACCTCACTGTATATTCAGAAAGGATTAAAAAACACACACATTTGCTGGGCCACAAAACGGTACCAAAAGTATTTCCTTACAAAATAACTTCACAAACCAATAGTCCTGGACTGACACAAAGACATATATCGACATACATTACCATGAATTAGTACACAATTCCAAATGTTTTTGCAGCAAATTTCTAGCAGACCTTTATTTCCTTAACGAGGGAGTGTACAACTTCTTTAACTCTTTAAAAATAGTAATAAAAAATTACAAAATAACATAAATGTAGAATTAAGGCTGAGACTATATAATCTAGTATTAATAAAGTCAAACAATGTTTATAAAACTGCTGCTGCTGCATATTATATATATACATATATACACAAGATAAATCTTTAGAAATTTAAAATGCTACCGTCTGTTAAAAGTTAACCCACCAATTTAATATTTTTCCATGTATCTTAAGATGTGAATTCTGAGATACCTGTGCTTTTCTATTTTTATTCTGAATTACAAGTTTCCTCTCATATTTACAATTAAATACCTAACCTCTAGAACTTTCCTTAGACACAACAATTACAGTTGTTAAATAAGTTCACACAAAAGTAATAAAAAGGTCTGCTCTCAAGAAATAGTTCTAGCATATTCGTGATAAACATACTGAAAAACAGTACATACACTTGTCTTCAGGATTAATAAATGCTATGTACTAGCGGTGCAGTCACTGATGTAATTGCATATTTTCCTCTGACACATTTGCAAGATAATAACAACCAAAGGGCCCGACAACTGGAATAATTCCAATAAGCCCACACTGTCCAGTGAGATTGACAAAACTGAATGGTTGCTTCCAGCCCTGTTTGGCTAAACATGGAAATACAAGCCTAGATTCTTGTATCACCCCCAGAAATATGCAACACCCTCTTGGTCTTCTGAAACAGAGCTGCAGGAGGCAGGGCATTCTTAGGGAGACTAATGGTCTCCTCTTCTGTCATCTCTCACACATCAGTTTTGGTTATAATCCTGATTAAAGTGGAAAAAAACACAGTTAAATTCTATATACCAAAGTTCTCCTCCCCTGTAACTCCCTCATCAGACCTGGGTGGTTAAATACACAGTGGAACTGTGTTCTAGTAATTATAGTAATTCTTGGTATAAACAGACTTAATTAAATCCTTGTATGTAAGCATTTCTTTCACATGTATGCAACAAATAAAAGCTTGACAGAAAAGCAGAAGTTAACATATACAGAGGAAGAGATAAATTCTGTGTAGTTTTGGAGTGGTGTATCCTACATCCAAATTTTGCAGAAAATTGGTTATTTTCCCCTTTCCTAAAATGAAATTACCATTTAAAAATTTTAACAAAAATTATAATGCTTATTAGAGAAAGGTCACAAAGATAAACCAAAAAAATTCAAAAATACCCATAACTCTATTTACATACAGAGGATGAACATCTTAGTATATATTTATGCAGGTATTTTCTTACTCAGATAAATATTTTCTTTTTCTTTTTGGGTCGGCGGGGGGGGGGGGGGGGGGGGCTGTGCTGGGGTCTTCGTTGCTTTGAGTAGCTTTTTCTCTAGTTGTGGCAAGCAGGGGCTACGTTCTAGTTGTGGTACAAGGGCTTCTCACTGAAGCGGCTTCTCTCGCTGCTGAGCAGATTCTAAGGCGCACAGGCTTCAGTAGTTGTGCCACATGGGCTCAGCAGTTGGGCTCATGGGCTCAGTTGGGGCACAGGCTCAATAATTGTGGCACACAGCCTTAGTGGGATCTTTCCAGACCGGGGATTGAACCTGTGTCTGCTGCACTGGGCAGGCAGATTCTTTACCACTGAACCACCAAGGAAGCCCTATACTTTCTTTTTAAACAATAGTTCCCTGAACTGTCATCTCCAAATAAAAGACATGCAGTTTTGGTAAAGAGCTAATCTATAATCTTTATGAGCAGAAAATCGATTAGAAAACCGAAGTCTCCACTGAAGAAAATGAGTCTACTGCATAATATATACTGCTACATATATTCTGTTGATTCTAAAATCCACATTTTCCCACATATAACATCTCTGAAATCCACCTTATAATGTCATGAGTTAATCTGCAGTGTTTTCTTTCAGTGCCTGATGGAATAATGATGTTTCTAGTAATTACTGACATCTTACAGCTGATGAAATATGGTATATAATCCCTATAAAAGCCAACAATATATAAATATGTAATACACAAACACTAATAATAACATATTAACACATACATTATGTTGCTATTTCCTACTGCTGAATTTGTTTTCCATTGTATGGATGAAATCACTATTTCAATATTAAAGATACTTTCATTTCAAATGCAGCAACATTTTTGATATAGTGTGATTTACAGAGAACAGGTAGAGACTGGGGATGAGAAAATTACTAATTAAACCTTGATTTAAATTTTAAATCAAAATTTAAAGTGATATTAGATTTCCCAAAGATAAGCAGGATGTAAACAGGAAGCCACAGGCTAGAATACAGCAAATTTGCAACCTACATCTTCTCATCTGCCACCACAAAGCTTGATGACAACAGCTTTTTTATGTTTGTTTTTTGTGTATGCAAAAAGCTGTACTGACAATATGGATCTCTCTCTGAAAACATTTACACTCTTCCCCCTTTTCTTGTTATTCCACCAATTTGTTATGAATTTTCTTGGTGTTATCTTTTGTCAGTCATTATACTGGGCCGTCAACAGGCCCTTTCATCCCTGGAAGTTCTCTTCCACGTGCTGTTTCTTCTTTCAAGGACTCCCGATAGTCTGAATTGGTTCTCTACATCTCCCCCTTTCTCTTCACGTATTTTCTCCCCCTCCTCGCCTGGCTTCTGCTGCTGTCCTCTGAAGGTTTTAATTTCAGCAATGGGATCTGTAATCCTGTTCTGGCTGTATTTTTCTCCTAATAGCCTCTTGGTTTCACGAATGTAACTCCTTCCACAATCTAATCACAAACTACAGTTTTTAAAAGAGTTCAGCTGAATCATCTTCCAGGGTTGGTTTTGTTATTTATCTTGTATTTCCCCTCACATGTTGTTGACCCCCCCTCATATGCATGATGACTCTCAGCTGTACAATTACATTTAAGAAAAAGTACTGTGCTGCTGGTCTGGATTTAGTCTACTGTTAATAAAAATAGAACTGTTTTCCCATTAAGGCTGCTCTCTGAGTAGGAATTTTAAGGGATGAGGGAGCAGGGGAGTGGGCAAGAAGGCTTTAAGGATGTGGCTGGAGAACCAACTAGCAGGTTGCTAGTTTGTAGATGCTGGCAACAGACAAGCCTCTAGGGTGCCACCAACTACATCGGAAGCCATGATACCAACTTTTAATTAACTAATTAACGTTGTTATCTAACTTCCTGGTGAGAGTGTTAGTACCGAGAAACAAGAGAACAGAGCTCTCAAAGCCTGGGGATAAAAACCTGGCATGGTCTAGACTCTGTTTTCTCTCCTTTTCCATTTCGCTCCCTCCTGTTTTGGGCTGGACTTCTCTGGCTGAGTCCAAGGTTCCACCAGGCAGACTGTGTCCCACTGTTTCTTGATTATTCCCAGAACCTCCTCCTTGATATTCTAGCCTTGTTTCTATTCTGCAATCCCCAGAAAACCTCAATCAAATGTGAAGGCAGAGGAAGACAGACTCAGACATGCAGTTTCTATCTATACACTTTTCCTAAGAAGTTATAAGAGAATGACAAGGAAGCCAAGAACCAAGGGATTCAACCCAAGAGAGCAGCCAAGGAGGACCCAGAAGACCTACAGGGTTACTAGTAAGTTACTAAAGCAGGTGGAAGAATACATGATCAAGTTACACAGTGAAAGAAAAAAGAAAGAATATTAGAAACTCCAGAGACATTAACAACAGTCAAGAAACAGTCTAAATAAGTACTGGATTAAAATTCAACGTGATTTTAAGACCTGATGGTTTAGATTTACTTGACTGATGTTTGGAACACTGGTGGCCTAAGTAGGGTCATGGCATTAGAATCTTACAGAGGGAAATGTAATCATAGCACACAATTCTGCCTATATCATCATCAGAGCCATAATAATATATGTTGCTTATCACTTAATAACTTTGAAAAAAGCACAGAGGTCTTCGTTGATGGTTGCAGGAGAGAATGTAACCAAATAACCACAAGAAAGGGAAATTTCTAAAATAATTCAGAACAATTTAGCCCAAAAGTCATGAGATGGGCAATGCAAGACAGACCTCCACACCAAGGTGCTGGGTGGACTGCACTGTCTGAAAACTGAAAAAACAAGACTGACATACGTAAATGTGTACCAAACAGGGAGGCAACAACAGAATAACTAAAGCAGTTAAAACCAAGGCTGCCTATGGGAACCAGGATGGTAAGGGTACAGAGGAACAAGATCTTATCACCAGGAGCTCTTTCGATAGCTGTGCTGTCCAGTCTGGTGGCCACGAGCCACGTGTGGCTCCAGAGCACTTGCAATGTGGCTAGTCCTAACAGATTTGCTGTCCTCGGAATTTTGAAGACTTTGTATGAAAGAGAATTTTAAATATCTCATTAATAATTTCTATACTACTGGCAGTATATTGCAATGACAATACTTTGTATACTGCGTTCAATAAAATATACTATTAAAATTTAATCTCGCTGTTTCTTTTAAAATGGTGCCTAGAAAATGTTAAATTATATGTGTAGTTCATGTTATACAGTATACTAAATCTATACATCATTTGATTTATATACATGCATTACTTTAATGAAAATACCATTACCATTACTAACAAACTAAAAAAAGAAACTTTAGCCCATACCACCTCTGAATTGCTACAAAATCTTAATTAACAAGTTCCAGATCAATGGCATCGGTTGTGGTTCTGCAGTGACTCTAACTCTTAACTGTAGTAAGTCCACGCAAGAGAGCCTACAACATGGACTTTAGTCTAGAATTGCTTGGCAGGAACTTCCTCACTCGGTCTCTTAAAAGAGTGGAAAAATGTTCCCCGCCTACCATAAAACACTTCTTTACCATTTATGGCAAGCCTACAGAAAAGCAGACGGAATAACAAACTTTTGCCCTTCCTTGTTCTCCTTTGCTGTCCCTTTTTTGTCTTCTAGTGTTTTAGAATATATCCCAGACATCATATTATTTGTTAAATACCTCTGTACATACTTCTAACTGTATATTTATTTTACTGTAAACTCTATGATGCTGCTATACAGAAAAATCACAATTCCTCAATATATCTAATATCCAGGTGATTGAAAATTTACCCAAATTTTTTCAAAATTATCATCTTGAAGATTCAAATCCATGTCCAAAGAAGCTGTACAATATGCACCTGACGGTTACACCTTTCAGTTACTTTTATTCTATAACCAATGGTTCATCCTTCTCCCTAGGTTTCTTCGTTACAGCACGCACGCTTCTCATCACAGTGGCTTCTCCTGCGCTGGAGCAAGGGTTCGAGGACACATGGGCTTTAGTAGTTGTGCCGCATGGGCTTACCTGCTCTGTGGCATGTACAATCATCCTGGACCAGGGATCGAACCCATGTCCCCTGCATTGGCAGGCCAATTCTTACCCACTGTGCCACCAGGGAAGTCCCTCCCTATATTTCTTTAAATGTCACTGATTTATTAACAAAATCATCATTTACAGTGTCCCATTCTTGACATTCTAGATTTGGCTAATTGCTGCCTGGTGGCGTCATTTAACTTGTTCCTAAATTTCCCTTCTTTTCTGTATACTTGTGCAGTTAAATTGAGGGCCCTTCTCCATTCATGAGAGATTTACGCTCTAACACCTTAAGGTATCTGTTCTATGCAATGAATTAACCTCCTTTTATTCATCGAGAATGCCAGCTGTGTGAACTGTCCCAGGAGCGTCACGGTTTTCTGCAGTGCCTAATTCCTGCACAGAACTCCAGCTGAGAAAGACTGAGTGGAAGCTTCATTAGATTCAGGTTATTTCCTACTGAATCACATAATAGCAAATATCCTGCTTTTTAATCAATGGGTTCAGGAGTGTCAATCTGATCTTTCCATTAAGTTCCCCCCCTCAATTTTTTATCTAATCATTTGTGTATCCATAGATTATTATTGCCTAAAACCTATTATTTGATTAGGAATGGCAAAAAAGTGATGTTTTCATTTTATAAGACTTCTTATATACTTTATTCTCATATAAAGAACTTTATAAAGAATAACTTCTATAAAGAACTTTCTCCAGTTATTTGGTTACCCAGAATGTTCATGTAAGGAAAGAATGAACATGTCTTTTCTATATGAATATTATCAATGTTCACTGTAAGGATCTGGTGTCATTTTTTCAAGATACTATTTTGGGAACAGGCATAGTATGGTTTCCGTCTAGCTCGCCAACCACATCTTAGGGGCTCCTCCCTCTTACCCACTATCCTTTAGGCTCACAAGCATCTTTACAGTTCCTCAGACATGCCAGGTGTGTTTTCTCAGAGCTTTCACGCCTTTTCTCCCTCTGACTATAAGCCATCTCTACAGAGCTGGATTCCCATCCTTCAGTTCTCTGCTAAAATGCATCTTCCTTGACAGCCAATCATGTTCTCCTACTGTTCTGTATCACTTCGTCCTCTGTTCTTCTGTAAAAACTTAACATCATTCTGTATTTTTACATACAGAAAAAGGCTTACTTTTTTGAACTGGCCCTCTTCTGTACAAGATTACAGACCTCCTATGGGGGCAAGAACCATGTCACATTTATTTACCCAGGAACACAGAGCACAAAATAATCAAACAGTTACAATAAATACAGAATACATAGATGGATAGGGCATGGAATTATACCAATTCTAAATATCATGGTCTCAGTGGAACTCGTCAAAGGTCAGTAGCAGAAACTTACGCAGGTAGAGTCTGAATGAACGTTCGTGATAATGTACAAGAAACCCTAGTACTATGGGCCTTTCTGTGGGATGGCCTTACTAGTATCTAATCTGAAATGGACAATTTTCTTCATTTAGTTAAGCTGCAGATGGCTCTGCTGGCTTCTTGGTGAGCTGTGCAAATGGTATGTGATTTTCCAAACCATAAACTATAAGCAACTTTTAAATGAGCAATGTATGAGCGATTCTGCATAGTCCATACTTGTCAAGTTGCTGAGCCTATAAAGCAGAATGCAATGTGTTTGAAAGTTTTCAAATAATCTGCAAAAAATCATTTTAGAAAATGATTTTTTAGAATATCCTAGGAGGAAATAGAAAATAATTCCATCTTATTTTCATTAGCCATCACTCAATTCGGTTAAAACGAAAACATAATCAATTCTGGCTCAAGGCAGGCAAGGAAACACCTCATGCTCATTTTAAAGTGTGATGAGCCAAGAGCTTTGAGGGCACAGTAGCCTCACCTGTTTTGTCTTGCAGCCTCTCTTCTTATTCTTTTGGGAGGAACTGGACAGTCTGTCATTGGATGAGGCAGTGAATCATTACATTTACGTGTGGGAGTCATTCCTGCAAAGACAGAAAGAAAACAGAGAAAATTAACTTTTAAAAAACCAGAATTATAAGCAATGAAAGCAAATACCTCTTAATTTATAGAAGAAGAATTAATAAATAATACTGGGAATGCTTCTTATTACGCCTGCTGAGAGAATAACTTACAAACATTTGTCAGTTCTCCTAGAGGTCGAGAATGTCTATGATTTAAATTCTGGGTCATTCATGCTCTTTCTTCATGGAGCTCAGTTTTCTCTAATCACGCACACTATCTTCATGCAGAGAAGGATCTCGCAGAAAGTACAGTACCTAGTTTTTGCTCTATCAGTTTGAGATTCTTTTCATGTTCATCAAGTTCTTGTTTTTTCCTCTTCATGTCGGGAGTGTGAAGGTACTTCAGCTGCCCGTTAAGGTCCTCGTTCACGCTGCCCAACCTGCACACAGCAGCGCGGTACTGCTGAAGAAGATCTACAAAGAAACCAGACATTTGATTAAAACTACTGATATCATATCAAAGCACTATTTTAGGAAAGAAGAGCCAGCAACACTGGGTGTTGTGTTACGGTAACACATGGAACAACTACTAACGTTCACAGTAAACAAATGAAAGAAAAAAATCACAGTTTAGACCCTGGCACAAGACTGGTGCATATTAAACCTTAATCTTCTTCAGCTGCTTGACTTTAATAAATTTATTGTACATATATTAACCTTAAAATGCATTCCTATATACATTAGGTGCAGACAACTACTGTTTGGCTCCACTTACATGAGTAACTAGAACAGTCAAATGCAGTCAGAAGGACACTGAGGAGATGCCAAGGGCTAGTGGACGGAAGAGGTTTGGAGGGCAACGGGGACTTAGTGTTCAATGGGGACAGAGTTGCAGTTTAGGACAGTGAAAAATTCAGGACATGGATGATGCTGAGAGTTGCACAACATGAATGTACTCGGTGCCACTGAGCTGTATAGTTTAAATATGGCTGAATAATATATTTTATGTGAAGAGGATAAGATGGTTTGACGGCATCACCAGCTTGATAGACAAGAGGCTGATCAAGCTCTGGAAGTTGGTGATACACAGGGAAGCCTGGCGTGCTGCAGTTCATGGGGCTGCAAAGAGTCAAACGTGACTGAGCCACTGGATTCAACTGAATGTGACTTTTACAATTAAAAAAAAATCACTCTCTCTGTCAGTGTTTACATCCTGTTTGATATTCAGTATTCAATCTAATTCCACAAAAATTTGGGGTGGGGGGAAGAATGCATTAAACATGGCATTATTAGAAAATTATTGCTTCCAATAGACATGGCCATTTCCTTAAACACAGCTTTCAAACACTCTTGACACTTAGCTTTCAAAAAACTTAACTTTCTTTACTTTGTTTAAAATACATTGGTCAAGTTTGAGACTATTTATTGCCTGTTTGTAGAATTACTAGACACTATAGGTTAAATACACTGCCTATACTTTAGTCCATGGGCTAAGAATGGTTTATACAGTTTTAAATTATTCCATTCTAAACGGTTATATAAATATGTTCATAACACCCTCAATTTTGTCTCCTGGCTCACAGGCCTAAAATGTTTATTATTTGACCCTTTGAGACTCTACAGTCACACAAAAATGTTCAGTATTCATGGGAATGGGCATACAAACACCCATATGTTTAATAAATATATACAGCGGGTTTATATATGAACCTGTGGAAGAAATCAATTTAGTCAAGAGTACATGATATATGAGATTTTCTATACTTTAAGGGTCAATAACAGTATTTAAAAAAACTATCCAGCTTTCTGGGAATGAGTAAGCACACACACACCTATGAAAACTTAAAAGCATATTCATATATATTTAAATACGAATTCCATATGTGTAATTCAGTAATGACAAAGTCCTTATGTGTCTTAATTCCTTATGACTTATTGGGAACTCAAAGGTAGCCACTAAAAAAGGTCTTGTTTTCTGATTTGATAATACTTCTAATTTCATTTTTCTATGTGCATAAAATAGTACTTATTTTCTATGTGAATGAGGTACAAAATGATGTCCAGACCCATATGTCAGGGATGCTGCCTAATTCAGAAGATAATATACAAAAATTTTAAGTCATTAAGGGTTGAATCCTACTTAACTTTGTAAGTCATGAGGTTCTTTTACCTTTTAAATACTCAAGAAACAGTATATTCAAAAGCTTTATATTAATCTTGTTATTTATAAAACTGAAAGATGGAGAATTAAATACTTTCTATTAAATGGAACACTAACAGCAAATATTTTATGCCTAAGATGGACAGAAGCAACTTAACTCAATATGCCTTTGCTGTTTTTGTTCAGTTGCTCAGTTGTGTCTGACTCTTTGCAACCCATGGACTGAAGCACATCAGGCTTCCCTGTCCCTTACCATCTCCTGGAGCTTGCTCAAACTCATGTCCATTGAGTAGGTGATGCCATCCAACCATCTCATCCTCTGTCGTCCCTCCAATCTTTCCCAGCATCAGGGTCTTTCCCATCAGTCAGCTCTTCATATGAGATGGCCACAGTACTGGAGCTTCAGCATCAGTCCTTCCAATTAACATTCAGGACTGATTTCCTTTAGGATGGACTGGTTGGATCTCCTTGCAGTCCAAGAGACTCTCAAGAGTCTTCTCCAACACCACATTTCAAAAGCATCAGTTCTTCGGCACCCTGCCTTCTTTATGGCCCAACTCTCACATCCATACATGACCACTGGAAAAATGATAGCTTTGACTAGACAGACCTTTGTTAGCAAAGTGATGAGTCTGCTTTTTAATATGCTGCCTAGGTTTTTCATAGCTTTTCTTCCAAGGAGCAAGCATCTTTTAATTTCATGGCTGCAGTCACCATCTGCCGTGATTTTGGAGCCCAAGAAAATAAAGTCTGTCACTGTTTCCATTGTTTTCCCATCTATTTGCCATGAAGTGATGGGACTGGATGCCATGATCTTCATTTTTTGAAATGTTGAGTTACTAACCCAGCTTTTTCAATCTCCTCTTTCACTTTCTTCAAGAGGTTCTTCAGTTCCTCTTCACTTTCTGCCATTAGGGTGGTGTCATCTGCGTATCTGAGGTTACTGATATTTCTCCCGGGAATCTTGATTTTATCTCGTACTTCATCCAGCCTGGCATTTTGCATGACATACTCTGCATATAGGTTAAATAAGCAGGGTGACAATACATAGCCTTGATGTACTTCTCTCCCAATTTTAAACAGTCTGTTGTTGCATGTCCGGCTCTAAGTGCTGCTTCTTGACCTGCATACAGGTTTCACAGGAGGCAGGTAAGGTGGTCTGGTATCCTTATCTCTTTAAGAATTTTCCACTGTTTATTATGATCCACACAGACAAAGGCTTTAGTGGAGTCAATGAAACAGATGTTTTTCTGGAATTCCCTTGCTTTTACTATGATCTAGCAGATGTTGGCAATTTGATCTCTGGTTCCTCTGCCTTTTCTAAATCCAGCTTGTACATTTGTAAGTTCTTGGTTCAGGCACTATTGAAGCTCAGCTTGGAGGATTTTGAGCTAATGTGCCTTAGCAATTCCCAATTTTTGATATGAAATGGAATTCCTATTTACCATGGTGTTTATAAAAAAGTCTTTTTTAATTCATTTAATAAAATTTCGCCAAAGAGAAAAACCAAAAATTCATATTTAATTGTTTATAAATGATTTTAGAGCTCATACATTATATGTTGTTTGAAAATTTAATTATATAGGAAAAAACTAATGATGCTTTACTATGAAAATAGTGAAAAAAATACTTAAAAATATAAAATTAGTTCATATGAAAGGACAAAAGCTTAAATTACAATGTGTTCATTTCTATATGCTATTTATTAACAAAGATATATAGATTATTTCAATGTATCCAGGGAAAAAAAACAACACTATGAAAAATAATGCAAAATAGTTGAAAATACCTATATCTGAAGAGCTGTTACTAGACAAGTATTTGGGGTTGCTAAGAAAGCAGATTCAGAAAACTAAGATCATGGCATCTAGTCCCATCACTTCAAGGCAAATAGATGGGGAAACAGTGGACACAGTGGCTGACTTTATTTTTCTGGGCTCCACAATCACTGCAGATGGTGACTGCAGCCATGAAATTAAAAGACACTTATTCCTTGGAAGGAAAGTTATGACCAACCTAGACAACATATTAAAAAGCAGAGACATTACTTTGTCAACAAAGGTCTGTCTAGTCAAGGCTATGGTTTTTCCAATAGTCATGTATGGATGTGAGAGTTGGACTATAAAGAAAGCTGACTGCCAAAGAATTGATGTTCTTGTACTGTGGTGTTGGAGAAGACTCTTGAGAGTCCTTGGACTGCAAGGAGATCCAACCAGTGCATCCTAAAGGAGATCAGTCCTGGGTGTTCACTGGTAGGACTGATTTTGAAGCTGAAGCTCCAATACTTTGGCCACCTGATGTGAAGAGCTGACTCATTTGAAAAGACCCTGATGCTGGGAAAGATTGAGGGCAGGAGGAGAAGGGGACGACAGAGGATGAGATGGTTGGATAGCATCACCAACTCAATGGACATGGGTTTGGGTGGACTCCAGGAGTTGGTGATGGACAGGGAGGCCTGGCGTGCTGTGGTTAAGGGGTCGCAAAGAGTCGGGACATGACTGAGCAACTGAACTGAAGAAGGCAAAAGCAATCTTCTCACCACTGGAGGATGCAAGCAGTGAGATAGGTAAGTAGATTTTATCAGTAGCATTTAGTTCTCTTCAAACTTTCTGTTATGCATTGGCAAAAAAATGATAAATACTTGTAAACTGGGTAAAAAAAATTGCTAAAAAAATTTACTAGAACTTCTGCTCTGATCTGTTCCAAAAGCATTCAGCAGGGGCGAACAGGAAGGAGGCAAGCTGACAGAAGGGTGGGTGTAGATGAAACAGGAGTGGCTAGTAGACAGGTCCACAGGCATTCAATCTGCTCAATTTCCAGTTAAGTATAAAACAAAACAGAACCAAATATCTTTGTCCTGAAAACCACAAACCTTCAATAATCTTGGTTGCTACCTCTTAAAAATATTAAGAATATAAAAAAATTAAGAATAGTTTTACTTAAAACAACAAAAAAACCAATAAATGGATGGAGAAGTTAAATATTAGAATTAACAAATTAAGCATGACATAATAAAGCATAAATAATGTCTAGACTGGCCAGGTGCATACTATGTATTTGGAGTATATGAAAGTGTTAATGAGACTGATGATGTCACAATTATCAACTACACATTGATTCCTTATTGGAAATTTTAAAATGCTTTTTCTTTCTTCAGTTGCTACTAACAACTCTCCTTTCTTACTTATATCCTGGCTTCTACAATGTTCAGAGTTATTTTGTTTTAATATTTTAAAAAAGTTATTTCTACTTATATGATCTCTACAGAAAACTCGGGCTAATACAGAAGAGAGAGAGATTGGGAAAAAACTGATAGGTCTACCACCTCACTTTTTTGTTTTCATCCCACATGCCTGCAGGTTTGATTTTTAACATGTGTGATTTTTGTAATTCTATTTTCTATGTACTTTCCAAATGAAATTTTAATAGACATCTCTCATAAATCCAATTAAAGCATTTAACATTTCTTATGTTTTCCTTGAAAAACAAGGCTATACTATCTATCTGAGAAAGGAAAAAAAAGCCCTGTTTGTATTTAGAACTGTTTACTTAGGCTTCTTTCCTATAAGATCAATTATTGTTAAGAAAATGAGTATTAAAAACAATAAGTTAAAAAAAAAAAACACAACACCTATTGGTAACATTTTGTGATTATAAAAGTGACACACACCAAGGCAGATCTGGAAATATACAGAAAAGGGTAATGGAGAAGTAAATTATCTCAATTATACAGGAAAAAATTATAGGAAAAAAATGTTTTCTTTCTACTCTCTTGTGTCACTGAACAAATGAACGCATACACTATCCTGAACTTGCGAAAGTTACCTCACCTTTTAAAGACTCAAATTCCTCATTTGTAAAATGAGAACAGCAGTAAATGAAATACAAGTGATAAGCTTACTAACGTTATATGGGACATAATAAGCCCTCCAAAAGAAACTATTATTATTCCCTTGAAAATTGCTTATTCATGTCATCCATTTTTCTGTTAGTCTTTGTCCTTTCTCTTGCTTTTTAAAGTCTGCTTTTAATAAGACTTCCTACAACACCTTTGTCTACCATATATGAAATTTTGCCCTAGTTTGTCATTTGCCCTTCTATTTTCTTCAAGGAGCTTTAAAATCATGTAAACTTAAAAAAAAAAACAACAACTATAAAATGTTTTCTTTTCTCACATCTGCCAGTACTTGTATGTTAAGAAGCCCATTTCTCCAAGGTAGGTGCTTCTATTTTAGATTGGCTGGTCAGCGAAGTCCATGAAGGTGTGACATTACACAGCAGGAAAGAAAAGAAGCAAGCCATGCACATATCTGGGGCAAAACCACTGTAGATAAAGGGAACAATAAAGTGTTCCTTTCAAGATTAAGCTTTCTGATTTCTGCCCTACTGTGCTAAGAACGTCCTGAATACAGCTGAAGAGTGGTCACAGAAGTTTTCTTTGCCTGTGCCATTTTTGGAAACAGCTTTGCTATCAGTTTCATAATATAGCCTGAGTGCTCTCCATATTTATCTATATTCTGAAACAAATTATATTTGAAATTCACTCATGAAAAACCTATAGGATGGAGTTAGCTTTCTGAATACATCCTCAGGCAATGGCCTATAAGTTTTCTGCCTTATTTAAATCAATTTTGTTCATTTGATTTGCAATTTTCCGGCATGTAGTCCATTTTATTTGGACATACTAAATGTATTTATAATATTACAGAAAACTAAGAAATTTCTGTCTGAATGTATTCTTGGAGCCATTACTTTTTGTATTTATTTTTCCCAAAGACCACCTTCAGGAATTATATATTATTCGATAGAAAGGTTTTCTTTTTTCCCTAATTCATTTGGCTGTACTTGTTTCTTGAGATGTATTTTTTCCTCCTCTCATTTGAGTTGAATCCTTAAACTTGTTTTTCTCATTTAATAATAAAAGCCTGTGGATTTACAATCGATCTTAGTTTTCATGCCTCCTACATATAATGTGTAACATTGTTCTCTTTAATAGTTAAAACTTTTTTGACAAAATAGTTGTTTCTGAATATCTACTATTTGAGCTTACTTTGGGAGGAAAGGAATAAGTTATTTTTAGTTCTGTTACATTATATTAAAAATAAATCATAAGTAAATTTTGCTTTTTATAATTTGTAGTCTCACTGTAGCTGAGTAGCAATTCAATCAACTGAATTTATGACCATTTTTTGTGACGTATTCTACAAATACCTAAGGTACTGATATTACAACTTATTAGATAGAAAATGTGTTTGTTTTTTTTTTTGACTAAGGACCTGTCATGGATTAATGGTTTCTGTCTTTGTACAATCAGCAGTTTTAAGAATTTTGATTTTGTAATTTACTGCATCAAGTTCGTTAACTCTTGGGCCTCTAGTATCAAATATATCTGATATAAAAATGAATTCATCTTTGTGCTTTTAGTGCCACTGCCTTGACACTAATACTGCAACTTGTGATTTCCTCTAGTCAAGTTTTACATTACATCTTTGTAAATCCCCCATAAAGGCTGTGACAGAAGCATTCTCTGAGCGCCTGTCTTCTGCGTCCTGACCACCCCAGTGTCTTCCACGTGGCCCTGAGTGGCAGGTGGCGTCTCCTGTCCTCGGACCTGTGACTACACTGACCTTGTCTGTCTAAGCCTCTCCCATGTTTCCTCTTGCAGCTGCACCTGACTCTCTCATGAAGAATACAAAACAGCCTTCTTCCTAGCATCTTTCTCAGTTACTATCTTAAATATAGTTGGGGGTTGAAGTAATAACCCCAAGCTAGATACTACCCAAATTCCTCAGCAGTATAATAATAAAGAAATAAACTATCGTGTATTTACACAATGGGATACTATCCTGCAATTAAAATGAACTACACACACACACAACACAGGGCTGAACAAAGCCAGACACACAAAAATCCATCACTTGTAGAATTCCATGTAGATAAGTACAAAAATGGGAAAAACTAATCTAACCTCTTTTAAGTCAAAAAAATTATCCTTTTGAGAGGGATGGGGCTATGATTGGAAGAGGCCTGGAGGCCTTCTGTGGGGCTGATAACGTTCTGTTTCTTAATACAGAAGCAACGTTCATTTTGTGAAAAACGTGTATGCTTTGAAATGTGCACTTTTCTCTATGTATACTATACTTAAACCCACAAAATGTGTATATTCATACAACAGAATATTATTCAGTCTTAAAAAGAAATTCTGACACACACTGTGACACACACAGAGTTAATTACAACACTGACGTGCCTGGAGGACAAGACGCTGAGTGGTGATAGCCAGCTGCAAAGGGATACTCTGATTTGACACACACAGAGGTGCCTGGAGGAGTCAAATTCACAGAGACAGAAACCTCTGTGGCGGGCAGGTGATGAGAGGGGAGGCAGGGAGCTGCTGCTTAATGGGTATGGAGCTTCAGTTTTACAAAAGGAAAAGGTTTCTGAAGGCTGGTTGCACAAGAGTGTGAATGCACTTACCACTAGCGAGATACCCATTTAAAAATAATTAAGATGATAAACTTTGTTACAGTTTAACTACAATTTACTATCTTAAGTTAGCAACGAACTACTTTTTGCTGGGAAAGTAGATATCCAAGCATATCAGAACTATATACAGTTAAGAGCAAACAGCTCTTAGGTGATGGCCCATTTGGGACCCTCCTGTAAAGTATAAGCACTTCAGAACACAGACATACAATTGTATCAGCTGACTAGAAACAAGGAGACACAGCCTACAGAAGGGAGGTCGCATGTCATGTACACCAGAAAGATGAATCTAGATAGTTAACAACTTTGACATAAAAAGAAGTATTATGGTTTGATGAGATACTAGTTTATTAAACAAGGAAATCTTTCCTTTATTTCAAGATAAGAATGAGAACAGGAGGGAAAACCTACTTCCTAAATATGTACTTCAAAACTATTTGCTGTTAGAAAGCTAGAAGTACTGGATAAAAACATCTTATTTGTATGTGTTACTGGTTAAGTTTCTATGTTAGAGTCTCAATAAATAAGGTCCAAATAAAGGGTTAAAATCAAATGAGAAATTATTAAGTACTTAATTTAACCTACCTATTTGCTCCCCTAAGATCAGGCACTGTTTTGGTACTGGAGCTCCAAACACCATTCCCCGGAGTTTATCCATTGGAGGAGCTTTATTCTGAAGGCCCCCAAACTTCCCATTACTTCGAATGCGATCTCCATCTCTGGTCAGCAGTGTAGGACAGTGTGTAATTTTAACAACCTATTGTAAGTAAATGGATATAATTAGTGAGTCTATAAAATTTAACTCAACTGCTCTAAGAAAGGATAAATCATTTAAGGGTTCTGAGATAAGAAATGACAATGATCATGGTACTATTTTTGCAAAATTAATTAGCTAGTGATTTGTAAGATGACTGGGGGCGGGGGGGGGACGAGAGGCAGAGAGATGAATTAGATTACCTCACAAGTGTTACCTAAACTAGAACAGAGAAAACACAAACAGAAAAAGTGAAATTGAGATTGATGGCTTGATTGATAAGAGGAAGGAAGAGAGAAGGACAAGCCAGAGACTTGTGTGCGTCTAGAAACCCAAAGCAGTATCTGGGCTGTATTACTTAGTTTAGATTCCTTCTGTTAGACATAAAATTTCCAGATGACCAAAGGGTAGCAAAAAGAATATTGTATTAGACTGAAGAAAATACAAACTGAAGAGCAAAGGGATGAACCTTCAGAGGATGTCAGCTGTAGGAAGAAAAAAAGCCAGTGATCTGAGAGCTGGGGGAACTAGAATTATGTAGTAAAACCTAAGACATGGAAAGGGAAGTAGAAAGTGTTAGTCGAGAATTAAATTTTTCAGAGAAGCTAGGGAATAAAAGAGAAACACTAGATTTAGTATTTCATGATCTTCAGGAATATACTTTCAAAAAAAAGTCTAGGAGATACATACAAAAAATGTTCAAATTCACTGGTAACCCTGGAAGTGAAACTGAAATAACTTGGAGCTCGAATGAGAATTTTCACTACTTAATATGTTGAAAATACACACACAAAACACACACCCAGACAGAATGTTGGAGAAAGGGTCTTCTTGTATTAATATTAACCTGCTTTGGGACAGCCCTTCTCAGAGGAAACATGACAAGTGCTAAAAAGATGAACAATCTGCATGACCCAAAAATTCCACTTCTAAGAATATGCCAGAAAAAATCATCACAGATGTGAACAATGTACACTGAAAAATCCTTTTAATGATGAAAAGTATGAAACTTCCACATTCAATAAGTTACAATAAAGTATGGCACATCCACACAATGAAACAGGATGCATACATCAAAAAATGACTGAAAAAGAAGACAATTTAGCAACATGTAGAAACACCTAATTCAATCTAACACAGTAGATCAAGCAGTTTCTGAATTATAAAAGATTAAATACAATTCAATTTTCAAAACGAAAAGCAACAGGACATGTAATAGAAAATTACGACTAATATTTATTCTTTTAACATAATTCCAAGGTAACTGACAGATGCTTTCCCAAATTAGATTCTTCTTATAAAATTTAAATAAAATGGAATGTCTACTTGAAGAAAATCTGTGGTGAATTCTTTGAAGTGAATCTTTTAGTAAAAGTATCACATCTTACTTTCTTAAGTTTGGTTTGGATTTGTACGCTTTCTAAAAATGAACATTAAAAATACAGACTAAAAAAATACAGACTGAATTCACATACTATTACCATATTATTATTATCCAATAATCATATATATAGTAAATCAAATAACTGTGATTATTAAATCAGATTCAGGCAATGATTTTACAGATTTAGTACCATCTTAAATAATAAACACACTCAAATTTCTTGTCTTCTCTTGTTAATGCACTGACAGTATGAGTTATAGGCCTGTGGTTAAGGCAACAGTTTTCCAATTCTCAAATGGCACATAAGAAAGGGGAAATGACAAGCTGTTATTTAATGGGTACAATTTCAGTTTTACAAAAAGAAGAGAGTTCTGGAAATTGGCTCAACAACAATGTGAACATAATAACACCAGTGAAACTGCATACTTAAAAATGATTTAGATGCTCAATTCTGTTATATGTATTCTACTGTAATTTACCATTAAAAACAACTTAAGCTCTCACTAGGCCTCTGCTGCAAGGCCGCTGCCACTGACCTGAAAAAGATCAAGACAGCATTTGCAAATTCAGTGCGTAAACAGAGTTACAGTTCTGGGCAATACTTGCAACGGCTATAAGGATTAGCAAGGAATGGAATCAACAAGGGGTTGAATCAGTATAAATGGCATGAAGAATTTATGAAGAGAAAACAATAAAAAGACTACTGAAACCTAATGATATGACCAAGAGATATCATAAAAGCCATTTTTTAGAAGAGTTTCAAAACAATATTTGGTAAATGGAGTAATTTTATTCAAAACTTTGGAAGCAAAGACATCAATTTGAAGAACTATGCTGGAACTATGAGGAACAAATGCTGTCCCTGCTTTTGTCACATATGGTCTATTACTTTTTTGAAGCTATGAATTGATGTTTTTCATTGGTTCTTCAAAGTTTTCAGCCATTAGTTCTTCAGTTATTACCTATGATCCTTTTATCCTCCTCTTTTTGGCACTCTGAACTTTTTAAAAAAAGATTTTCTAACTCTTATCCTTAGTGATTCTCTACTACATTCCTTCTCTCTGGGCTGCAGTTTGGATAATTTTTCTGACCTATCTTTCAATTGACTAAATTTTCTATTAAGCTGTTAAGTCTGCCCAGTATTTAACTTTGATTATACTTTTTATTTTTAGATGCTCTTTTTGATTTTTTTCAAATCTACTTGCTCTTAAATTCAATATTTTTTCTTAAAATATATTATGAAATATTTAAAATGTTTTGATATTTTTATTAATAGATATTTGTTATATATTAATAAACATTATGTATTTATAATGTATTTATATATTTTAAATATTTTAAAATATTTGCTCTTATGTTCAATATGAAATTACTTCAATTTTAAGATAAAGGTGAATTCTTTCAGAGAATTTTGTTTGCTCTGATGACATATCTAAGGACACTACAAGTCCAGCATTACATGAAATCAAATGTTTCCCTTAAATATTACCCTGAAGACCATTCAAGTATTATGAATGCAAGTTGCAACATACATGACAACCAATTTGTTAATGCATTCTCTAGGAAAATCAGAAATGCCTGGAGTTGAGATAGAAGAGGCAAGCTCATTTCTTTTGTTCAGTCTTATGCCAAGGGTTAGCCCTCTCGGGGTTCTAATTTCTAACCAGGAAAGAGGTTCTTCAAGCAGATTCCACATTCTGGTACGTCTTACCCTCTGAGCCTTGCAATGGAGTGACAACTGATGCTCAAGTTCCATTAGTTTGACAAATATTCTCAAAGAAAAATTGGACTTCAGTGTTATGTTCATCTCTCTGGGTTCTCACCTTCACTTAAGAATTCTTACTTTCTTGCCAGTTCTTAGAGTAAGATATCTTAATGATATATAGCTAGAATCAGCCTTTTGAAATGGCCTGTTAGTTCACCTCTGCTAGCACTGCCTTCGGCTATCTGAGTTGTCTAGTCCATTTCCACATAACCCTCAAAGCCTAGCACTGTGCTAGTGATCTGCTGGGACCAGCACTTACTGGCTCATGAGAACCAGGTCCCCCTGAACGCCTCAGTGCATGACCACACAGTCAGCTGGCAGTCAGCCAGGTTAGGGGCATTCACACTGCGGGGGCTGGCAAAAGCCATCACTCGACTTGACAGAGCTGGTGATTCAACAATTAACAGCACTCACTGTGTCTCACACACTGCAGGTGTCCAAATAACAGACTCAACTACTGACAGAATCTTCCAATTATTACTCAACTTGCTAATCCATCCTCACTAGTAAGCTACTCACCTTCTCCTAGTAGATTATACATTGCCATAACTTCTAATGGGTATGATTTCTGGCTTATAATTCAGGACATATAAACATGCTAATCACCGTTGGAATACAGCAGCTTCCTCATCCACAGCCATTTTCTGATATAGTATATTAGAGCCATTTTTAAGTTCATAAGGAACCATTCATGAAGATGCCAAATACTCTTCCCCAATTAGTTGTTTAATTTTCAGTAATCTCACTAATTTAGCTCTCCTAAACTGAAGACACACTTACTATTTCTTCTAACTGGGCCCACAGAAAATCTGTTCTGGGTAGTTCTAGTTTTGCCATGAATTAGTACTATGACTTATTTGTTTTGTACTTAAGGTTTCTTACCTAGATTATTAGACTATATGATTTTAAGATATCTATGACTTTATAATCAACTATTTAAGGGTACTAGATCATATTTTAAACTGACTTCTGTTTTCTCCTCAGTAACTACTTTCACTTTCAGCTAAAATATTTTGCATGCCTATAATATTTACATACATGTTTATCACCTGCTATTTCCAAGTCCCTAACACCATATTTATTAAATTTAGTACTTCTTCTATATCAACAAATTCAGACCTTTGGATTTCAAATCCAAATAGATCATTCCTTTACTGAAATTTTATTCACTTATTTTCTTATTTTATTCAGTCTTGACAACAGCCCTCTGAAAGGTCCTTCTTCATAATAGATTGCCTTTCTTTCCTCATTAAGAAAAACTTATTAAAAGTAATATAGAAAGGTCAATCTTTCTTAATAAATACAACAGTATACAATATATTCTCCCATCTTGTTTAAACTGCTGGTGCTACTAAGTCGCTTCAGTCGTGTCTGACTCTGTTCGACCCCATAGACGGCAGCCCACCAGGCTCCTCCGTTCCTGGGATTCTCCAGGCAAGAACATTGGAGTGGGCTGCCATTTCCTTCTCCAATGCGTGAAAGTGAAAAGTGAAAGTGAAGTCGTTCAGTCGTGTCTGACTCTTTGCGACCCCATGGACTGCAACCTACCATGCTCCTCTGCCCATGGGATTTTCCAGGCAAGAGTACTGGAGTGGGTTGCCATTGCTTTCTCCATCTTGTTTAAACTACATAAGCTTATTTTCAAAAGGGCATAACTTTGTACATTATCATTTTGCAACTTTTCAACGAAACAATGTATTTTGCACGTCTTCCTCATTAGAACACGTCAATCTGCTTATATATCTTTTTAATAGATACATACTATTCTACTGTATAAATTACCATAATGGAGTGGTGCAATCCTAACCGATGGCCTTTACACTGCTTTTAAAGTTTCCCAATAAAAATTCTTAAACATTCTAATGAATATTTTTGTGACAGCATGTCTGTAAGATAAATTATCTTAATATATGATGATATAAAGAAGGTGGCATCTTCTTTGCCTCTCCCAGGGAAAGGAGAGAGTCTATTCCAAACTTCCTATTCCCCTATTTGGATCTGGGCTGGCCAGATTCTGACCAACCAAATATACTTCCCGACACTGGGACTTAAGAGACCTGTAATTTCTGTCTTCACCACTCTAACTTTCCTTCTTAGGACCCAGATGCCACTGATAAAACCCCCAGTAGCCACAAGGAGTGGCTTGTGTGGAGAGCTCTAAGTCTGCCAGCCTACAACCCCTGCCATGTGCCCAGCCAGTAGTCAGTTATGAATGAAACAGTATGAATGGGAGATAAACTAAGTAGGAATTAATTCATTTTCAGAAATAATTTCAAATATTTCTATTCAAGAACTTGCTGAGTTGGGACTGTTTTTTCTTCCCAGCCTGTTTGGCCAACAAAACGTTGAAAAAGAAATGGAGAGCCTCTGGGCTAAGATCAAACCCAGTGTACAGTCAGTATAATGTAGCCTTGGAATCAAAGTCAAGTGAAGGATGTCCCTACGTTAAGACCTCAGAAAGATTTAAGGCACTGCTTTCTAGATCCTCTTATCGAGAAAAAGGTTTCTAAAAACCTTAATGGCATTACCTCACACACCCGTGAGGTGGGCTGAGAACCACAGTGCAGGTGGCAGCCCCAGAGGAGGTTCTGGCCAGCTATCGCTAAACCACAGCGGCAAGCAGCATCAGCTGGCAGCTGTGTGAGGGAGGCGCTTGGAGCTTTCACCATCCCAGTACAAGTAGCCAACACTACTTGGAGAGACCCAGCAAGGAATGAGAACTAACATGCTGCCACTGCTTAAAGCCACTAACTTTTGAAGTGTTTGTTATGTAGCAATCGATAAACATTAGTATTGCTAAATGCTCTGCAAAGGTATTATCAGATGCATTGTATCCCTTAAGAGTCCTTGTGTTGATGTCATAACCCCCCAGTTCTTCAAAAATGTGACCTGAATTGAAGACTGGGTCTTAACAATCAAATTAAAATGAGGTCATAACAGTGGGCTCTAATCCAATGAGTAATGTCCTTAAATAAAGGGGAAATTTGGGTACATATACATAGATGCAAACAGATGCAGGGAGAATGACCACTGGCCAACCAAGGAGAAAGGCGTGGAACAGACTCCTTCCCTCATAACCCCTGGAAAGAACTGGCTCTTCTCACACCTTGAATTTGGATTTCAAGCCAGCAGAACTGTGAGACAGTACATTTCTACTGTTTAAGCCACCCAGTCTGTGGTACTTTGTTACAGCCCTAACAACCAATAAACAAGGGCTGCCTCAAATTGTGTTTCCAACAACATTATCTGAGATAACTCTTTTTTAATACCACCATTAATAGACACTGATGTTGAAACTCACAGCCTGCAAACATTTCCTCTTAATTTGCATCTTGGCAAATTCATTCATATATTTTGCTCAGATTCACGTTGCTTATCAATTTATAGGATTTAAATTGATATTGCTGTCATTTGCACATGTATCTCAAAATAAAATTCTTTATAGATCTCTAACATATTAAAATTTTAAAACACATAGTAAAACTGGAGCTACAAATTAAAAAATAATTCAAGTACATACCTCTTTTCTGTAATGATTGGCAGCATCCAAATTATCCAAAATAATAGTGTCTCCTAACAGCATACCAAATACTAAAAAATTCAACAAACAAAATGTTAAAATTATGACATCTTTTTTGGTCATATTAAAATATTAACACAGACTTCTGCTGGTGAGCACACTATTGTGTACCCAGAAGTTGAAATACAATGACTGCACATGAAACAGTTGAAAAAAAAAATCACATATTTAAAAAAAATTTTAACATATATTATTATAAAGTTTTCTTAGAAATAATGCTAACACAAGAATTTTATTCAATATTTTATTCTAATAGGAAAAGTAATAGAAGTAAATAATAATACAACTATCATTTATAAACTAAATAAGAACATAATTTTCCATAATCAGTAATTTAAGTATCTGAATCACAAGCATAACATCTGTACAAAAAAAGTCATGACTTCCTTTACCTGTTTCACAGTGTTCTACGTTATCTGGAAAAGTTAACAAGTCTCGGGCAAAGACGGGGTCTCCAATGGGTTTAAAATACAATCTTCCATTTCGGTAATGAGGTAGAGGTCTGAATTTAAAAAAGGTTTTAAACAAAATATGTAACTTATCATCAAAAAATATGTGTATGATGAAAAACATATGAATACACTGATTATCTCTGTGATCACAGCTTCCTACGCACAGTAATACTCCTAAATGCTTAACTATTATGCCTTTGGAAAGGAAAACAGTATTTACCATTAAAAAAATACTTGCTTAGTTTTATCTGTCCTCAATTAGTTTGTAAAATGGATATAAACTTTGTTTATTTCTGACAAGAAGAGATGCAGCCTCTCAAGCTGGCCCTAAACTAGGATGCCAATGATATGACTGTCTCATGTGGAGAGTGGCCCTAGAATGGCTGAGGGCACGGGCAAGGCCAAGGCTGAGAACATGGCAAAGAAGCAGCCCAGTACACTGGCACAGTGTACAGAATGACCAACTGAAATGCACGGATAACAATGAGATTCAATAGATGGAGGCTGACTGGGGTGTCAGGGCTTCCCCTGCCCACATAGGGTAGCTTTCCCCAAATTGTGCAGGTAGGAATAGAGGGTGGAGTGGCTTTAAGAGCTTAGTTAACTCAATCCCAGTAGGAGGCACAAGACCAGGAAGGGAGGATAACTAGTTTTTAGAGCAAGCATTAGCCTTAAATAACAAATTCATACTTTTTCTAAATAAAGGATTCTTAATGTGATCCTCAGGGATAATGGAAAAAAAATAGAAGACCTCCTGAAGGGAAAATTACTTTCAGAAAAATTATTACTCTTTTCAACACAGTCACTATGATTAGATAGGACATCCCATGTTATTTAAGATGGGTACTGACTGGGAGCAGAGTGGGAGATTTTAGAAGCAGACAGATTTGAGTTCAAATTCCAGCTGTTTCCTTGATTTATGTTTAGATTACAAAACGAAATAAAATGTCAGTTTAATGACACAGTAAGCTCTTAATTTTCACTTCGCAGGAAATAGATGGCGAAACAGTGGAAATAGTGTCAGACTTTATTTTTTTGGGCTCCAAAATCACTGCAGATAGTGATTGCAGCCATGAAATTAAAAGACGCTCACTCTTTGGAAGGAAAGTTATGACCAATCTAGATAGCATATTAAAAAGCAGAGATATTACTTTGTCAACAAAGGTCCATCTAGTCAAGGCTATGGTTTTTCCAGTGGTCATGTATGGATGTGAGAGTTGGACTGTAAAGAAAGCTGAGCGCCGAAAAATTGATGCTTTTGAACTGCGGTGTTGGAGAAGACTCTTGAGAGTCCCTTGGACTGCAAGGAGATCCAACCAGTCCATCCTATAGAAGTTCAGTCCTGGGTGTTTATTGGAAGGACTGATGTTGCAGCTGAAACTCCAATACTTTGGCTACCTCATGCGAAGAATTGACTCATTGGAAAAGACTCTGATGCTGAGAGGGATTGGGGGCAGGAGGAGAAGGGGACAACAGAGGATGAGATGGCTGGATGGCATCACCAACTCAATGGACATGAGTTTGAGTAAACTCTGGGAGCTGGTGATGGACAGGGAGGCCTGGCGTGCTGCGATTCATTGGGGTTGCAAAGAGTCGGCTCGGATACAACTGAGCGACTGAACTGAACTGAACTGACTGAAGCTCTTAATTTAGTTTCCATTCTCCTTCAAGTCCCATTCCTACTCAACTGTAGGCCTTGCAAAACTTTGTTTAGGAATCTGAGAAAGTTCTTGGTCGATATTCTGTTATTTATTTTAATTTCTTTTTTGCTTTGCTATCACCATTTTGTTTGAGTCTTTTAAGGCAGCTTGTTAAAAATAGTCAAAACTAGAGTACACATAAAATATTTAAATGGCTAACTGGTTTGCATAGTTATGCTGAAAAACTTATTTTGAAAAGTAAATGGGAAAACAATTAGAGAAAACAGATTTATATTAAAACACAGATGTAACATCCTAACTAGATGATCTCTTACATTTCAATTTTGCTAATGGCAGTTCCAATAGAGGCCTTCTCTATCTAAATGATGGCTGTTTATTTTTACAGGACTTACAACAGGACAAAAGACACTGATCTATACTCTTACTCCAAAAAAAGGAGTTCAATAGTCTGTTAATGATAATGACATCTCACCATCCTTCCCTTCTGTGTATGTTTGTATGTGTATCTGTCATATAAACAAATAACATTTAACTGGCAAATTAAACCTGGCCAGCCTATGTGATCAAATACACTGCAACACTGATCTTAATGAAGATCATATTTGTGAGGAAGACAAAAATTAATGTAGATAATCTGAGTCACTTCTCTGTTTTAGGCTTTCAGAGAAATTTTATTTATTTATTTTTAAATTTTTTTTTTTCAGAGAAATTTTAAAATTCTATGATTTGATAAAAAATAGAGCAGGTTTTTTTTTTTAAAATCACTACTTGCACGTTTTTCTAACCTTTTCCAATCTGGAAGAGTCTTCTTATAAATAGAATCGAGGGGCAACACCTGCTGACGACCTTGGGTTTCATCATAAATTCGACGTGCAGCATCAGTGGTCAGGGTGACCACACAGTCCATGTCACTTGCCAGATGCCAAGAGATAACCATTGCAGCTCTATCATCTTCAATCTGTGCCAGGTGTGCAATCTAGAAGCCATTTTTAAAAATCAAGTTAAGAAACTTCTAAATATATTACATATTTTAAAAGTCAACATCTAAACAGCAAAAACACTTTTTTGTGAAACATTCATATGAGTTAGCAAAAAATTCTCAAACTGTAAAAGCTTACTGGCTTAAATATTTTAAATGGTCTCTTATGCTATTTAATTTCAAAAAACTATTTCACAGATTAAACTACAGTAAATTTTGCCAATAACCAAATAAAAATATTTGGCATATTATCAGTTAGGTGATGTACCTTTTTTTTCACATTCATCTCTCTACTACTGGGTATGTCAATTGTTAAAAGCATAAAACACACTTAAACCTAAATATAGCTATACCCTTCTAAGTAGATCATTTATGCCGATGATTTTTTAGAAAACAAATCTAAATATCACAAATAAGAATCATTTCTTCCGTTTTTATAAACTCTGTAGGGCTCAGAATTAATAGTCCCTTCCCTATCTACAAAAACAGTTGACCACCGAACAACTGTATGGAGATTATGTATGGAGGGTACAGAGGTTAGGGCCACCGACCCTTTGATCAACTGGAAATCTGTATGTAACTTCACAGTCGGTCATCCATACCTAGTTTTACATCCAAGGATTTAACCATTAGGCAGTACTGTAGTCGGTATTTAGTTTAAAAAAAAAAAAAAAAGTCTGTGTGTAAGTGGACCTTCAGTTCAAACCTTTGCTACTGAAGGGTCAACTGTACAACCATCCATCTGTATACACAGGGAACTGGTTCCAGGAATCCCCTCAGATCCTAAAATCTGTGGATACTTAAATCACTTATATAAAATGTCACAGTATTTGCATATAACATTAAATATATTTTAAACCATTTCTAGATTACTTATAATACCTAATACAATGTGAATGCTATGTAAATAATTGCCTGCATGTGCATGTGACAAACTCAAGTTTTACTTTCTGGAACTTTCTAGAATTTTCCCCCTCAAATATTTTTCCTCTGCAGTTGACTGAATTCAAGGAATTAGAACCTGCAGATGCAGAGGAACCACTGGATTTTAGTCACAAGTTTTTTCAAAGTTTTCTTCCTCAAAGTCCAACATTGCTCAAAGCCTTGTTCAAAAGCTGAATTTTTGTGGCCGATTTGAAAAGTCATTTATTACACTGGTATGGTTACATTTACCCTTTATTCTTACCTGATCCGGTAGCAAAACACCTGCCCTAACAATGAGAATGTTGTGTCACTGTTAAAAACATCACAGTGTCCACCCTGTAGAGCAATTCCCCCTTATCTGCAGTTTCTCTTTCCCCAATTTCAGTTACCCAGTCAATAGCAGTCTGAAAACAATAAATGAAAATTTAAGAAGTAAACAGTTGATAGGTTTTAACTGCACACCATCTCAGTAGTGTGATGAAATTTCACTCCAGCCCGCCTGGGATCCCCAACCACTGATATCGTCATGGCTCCACGACCCAGTATCACATAAAACCTAAGAAAACGAGACAATAAAATGTACTGCCCCATAAAAGGCTGAAACACAAACCTTTCCCAAAACATCTCCGCTGCCTTTCGTATAATTTGGAAGAGTACATGATCTTCTGGGTTTTTTCTTTAGTTCTTCCTGTTCTGATAGCTTTCTTTTCAAAAGTGCTTCAATGTGTGGCATCTGTAATTTTATAAAGAATAATTAACTGCAAGGCCAATTACAATGACTCTTGTACAAGGTAGAGAAAATAGCAGAGAAAAACCAACAATTTGGACAACTCAATTACACAGGAGTTACTATGTAGCCACTCTTTTCTTTTGAGAATATGATCACAGAAATGTAAAGCATCAACCTCACTGACTCTTTTTTCTTAGTTAAGAATTATATGACCTATAATAAGACTTACGAGTTATACACAGAAAGAATATAAGCTCTAAAAAATCTATTGTCTTTTGTCACTTTCTCTCATTTTCTTTGCCACCGATTATTACTTGGGCCACTTCAGTGCAAGTTCTCAACTTGGTGTATTATTAATATAACTTACTAGTATCATTAGATCAGAAACACAAACTGCAATTTCTTTGAAAAGAGCCCTCCATTATTGTTAGCCTATTTCAATGTCCAGTAAGTGACTGGATTATAATCCCCATATGGCTTAGGACCCCAAAACAATAGTGTCAACATTCCTAATAAAATATGAATGATTAAAAACAAATTATAGGCTAGAATTAAAAAAAAAAAAACTTTTCACATATACTTGGAAACTGTACCTGCTGTGTTGTAGAAATATCAATATTGTGGTTTTTCAGTTCGTTTCGCAACTGGGCCTCTTTTAATTTTGCTTCTTCAACTTGGCCTAAAATTAAAAACAAAAACTATCAATTTGTGATGGCTCTTATAATAGTTTTTGAAAAATGTTTTCAATCCCTTTTTTCCTTTTAATGATTGACGCTAAAATGAAAAACGGTAATTACAGAAATCTTAAATAAATTAAAAATCTAAAATTAAGGTTCACATCTAATATACAAAAAGAAAACACAAAATGAATGCAACTGGAGGTATTATAAACTGCAAACTACAAGTAATCTTGGGTAAGTTATTTAATTCTAATCCACATGAATATATGTAATATATACATAATTACATAAGGTTATTCTAAGAAAATAAGACTTTTTAAAGAACAATTTTTAGTACTACAAAGTATGTATTATTTCATTACTTAGTTCATATTATCCTCTAAATATCCCTGATATGTGAAAAAATTTGACAAATGGAAAGCAGTGATAGTGCATCACTAACAGTACAGACATTATTAAAAACTGTAGCAAATATGCCATGTATTTATTAAAAAACAAATTAGCTATTTCTCTGCTGCAGATGTTTGTAAATTAAACTACACACAGTCAAACTAAAACTTAAATTACACATCACTTTTTCAGTGATATTGTCATCTAGTATCTTTTGCCAAATGCTAAAGCTAGATATAAACATTATTATTATATGCCAGAAGCCTTACACTTATATAGATTCAGATTCCTAATAAAAATTGCAAAATTTTGTAGGTAAACAAGAAATATGTTTATGTAAAGACAAGAATGCTTCATCATAAGACTGAATGATGAGTAATATAAACCACCACTTCTATCCTTCTGCCGTATCCTGCGGTTTACTTCTAAGTCCAGGGAGGCAGACAATGTTTGTGTCCCATGGACTCAACCTTCCGTCTCACCACTACCCAAAGCATCATTTTCTATCTCTTCTGAACACAAAACGACTTACACTTCATCTCATCAAGAAGCTGCTTGCTGGTATCAAATAAAGTTCTGTACACTGTAATAGACTTGGATAATTGGTCCTTTTCTTTTGTAAGTGCTGCCATTTGTTGCTGCTTCTTAACATCTAAGAAAAAACATTCAGGTAATTTATTTCACTTTTTAAATTGTGACTTTTCCAAAATGTCATCACAAGATCAGATAACTAGTAAGCACCATTTAATGGAAAGCAAAAGTTATTCAAAGTACCACAAACTCAAGAGTTTATCTTCTAATTTCCTAGAAACTTACCATTGTAAAACATAAATGGTAGGATATATGATTCTAACGTTCTTGATAAAGCTGGCAGCCGAGGCTCAAACACAATAAAATATTCAGTACTATCCCTTCCAGGACTGTTTTCTGCTAGCACTAGACTCTGTATAAAGAAAAGAGCAGTAAGGAAAAACAAGTTTTGAAAAGGTATCTGTAAATATACAAATGTTATATATTTCATTGTGCTCTATTTTCAAGTAAGTGGTAAATTTAAAAGGCAAAACTGACTGACCTGTGAGATTCACTAAGCATTCACTCAAACATCAGCAGCACCATCCAAGACATAAAACTCTTTGGTGTTGGTTTGAAAGCCAAATTATCTTATCAATAAATAGCTTATGCAAAAATTATATACAATAGAAAACTATGAGAAAAAGTATCTTCCAAACCAGAAATATCAATGGCTTCTTATATCTTGACCAGAAATGGCTTGATTTCTATCTTTAATTTGAAGCAGTGTGAAACAACTGATGGTGGGAAAGTTATAAAAATAATCACAAAGAAGTACACAAAGCCCAGTGCGGAGTTTAAGTTACAGCTGTTACCATGGAAGCAGACCCACCAGTCCCAGGTGACCAAACAAGAGGTCCTGAAAAGCTCTCAAGATTTGGGCTTTTTAATGTATTTTTATTAATCAATGCACACACAAAAAAACTTCTGATATATTTTATAGCATATAGCTAGTAAATAATGCAATACAAATATCTATATCCTTATTTAGGATATCTTTTCAGTCTTACAAGGAAACAGTGGATACTAGCTGTTTCATTTTTTAGACCATAGTTATCAAGTTCAGAGAAATAAAATTTTTAAAAATCTAAATCAACAGAACACCATAGAACAATCCATGAAATAATAAAATAAGTCTATCATTAAACCAATGCCCAATCCCACTTGGTTTCTGAAAGCTGTTTTCAATGTACTTATACGAATATAAACACAAAAATAAAACTGTTTACACTTAGAATGTAACAAACTTTACTGTAGCAATTTGCTTTCAGCACTAATTTTGATCTGTCAAACAATTCAAGTAAATGTTTAGTTACCAATTTTTTACATTTATGCATAGTGTAGATATAATATACTATAGTAGTCTTTCACTGGGTGATGAACATTTTAGTAAAAATTTTTAGCTAGTACTTATAATGCAGCAAAGAAAGAATCTTTATATACCTCTTGGTATGTTCTCTAGACTAGCCAGAGAAATATAATGACTTGTTAAAAGTTTATTTTAATAGGTAGTATCAAATTTCTCTTGAAAATGTCTACATCAATTTATCCTCTCATTATTAGTGTGTAATATCCAGTTCCCCTGATGTTTGGCTAACATTTATTATCAATCAGCTTTTCTTTTTTCTAAAAAATGTATTAAAAACAACCAGTTATTACTGTTTTAACTAGCATTTCCCAGATTACTACTGAGGTCATGCTTCCTGTTTATTAGTTATTTATACCTTCTCTTTCACTCCTGTTTATATTCTTTATCATTTATTTTTCTACCAGATTGTCTTTTTTCTTATTGATTTGCAGGAAGTTCCTCAGAATGTTTTAAAAGTATGTTCAATATACTGTACTAATGTACTATTGTACCAAAATATTATTAACCCTCTATTTACATATTTAAATATAAAATCTCATCCATGATGTCTTATTTAAGGAGGCCTTTCCTATCTCAAAGGTATACAGTTTGTAATCTATGAGTTCAGTTTACCAAAATCCATGGAATAACAGAATTGAAGAGAACTCAAGAGTCCAAAACTGGATTCATTTACAAATGGCAACTTGAAAAGCAAGCAATGGACAAATACATAGCAGAGTAAAATTTAGATCAAGAAGGCAAATGATAAAAAATTTGAATAACACAATCAACAAACATGAATAAATATAAATTCAGATTAAAGCTTTAAAGAAAGCAGTACACATTCTTTTCTAGCAAACGGGAACATTTATCAATGACTGTGTTCTAGACCCAGTGTCTCCTAAATGTCCCTAATGAAAAGAATCACCTGCACAGATCAGATCAGATTTCACAGCTCTGCCCCAGACCTACCAAATACATACATGGTCAGGAGCCAAATAGGACCTGAGAGATTTCTGCTTCTTCAACGTGATACTAGGAACCTCTAGTGGACATTCACATGCATGACACGAATCTGACAGAACATGTAGCTGTGGGAGAATAGTTTATGTCACCGTCTCAACCTCAGAAATGCGTACAGCAGGGTAAGCAAATGCCTGCAACTGTGGCCAAGGAAACAGAACAGAGGTAACCTGGATACAGGGAGTGGGCACCCGTGTTCTTCCAATACAAACCGATTCTGCATGTTCAGAATGTCTTCCCCGCCCTTCTCTCTTTTTCAACTTGTGGTTTCATTACCTAATCTTTGTTAAGAGTATAAGAAAATTTCACTTTACCCTCAACCATGATAAAAATAAAAGAACAAGTGTAAATATAAGTAGCAACTGACACTTTCCCTCAATGTCAAGGAATGAAAAGCAGCAGCATGGATGCAGCTGACTGGAAATCCTACTACCTGAAGAGAATCTTGGCCCAGTACTGCCAAGTCTTTCGAATTCTCCAAATAAACCAGGAATTTGGAGATGTTCAGCTTGTTCACTGGTCTGGCAAAGACCATTACAGCATTACAGAAAAAGATCTCTGTCTGAAAATTCAGGAATTTTTAAAGTGTTGAAAACTAGTTAAAATGGAAATGCTGTAATGGTCAATCTTTGCCAGACCAACCAACAAGTCAAACTGTAGACCAGGTACAAGATGGCAGATTCCCCAACTGTAAGCCTAATATTGTTAAAACAATGTGAAGAAAGCTGATGGAAGCACTGCTGATAAAACTTTGGAAAGAAACTAAATTTTCACTTTAGGATTGATCAAATAAATTATAACGATCAACACAACAATGTCGATTTATTCGTGAGATACAGATATGTGTATGGATGTCAGAGTTGAACCATAAAGAAAGCTGAGCACCGAAGAATTGATGCTTTTAAATTGTAGTATTGGAGAAGACTCTTGAGTCTCCTTGGATTGCAAGGAGATTAAACCAGTCAAGCGTAAATGAAATCAGTCCTGAATAGTCACTGGAAGGACTGATGCTGAAGCTCCAAGACTTTGGTCACCTAATGTGAAGAACTGACTCACTGTAAAAGACCCTGATGCTGGGAAAGACTGAAGGCAGGAGGAGAAGGGGATGACAAGAGGATTGGATGGCACCACCAACTCAATGAACTTAAGTTTGAGAAAGCTCCGGAAGTTGGTGAAGGACAGGGAAGGTTGGCATGCTGCAGTCCATGGGGTCACAAACAGTCAGACACAAATGAGAGACTGAACTGAACTGACAGATACACAGCAAGGATGTACGAAATGAGAAAAGATTTCACTAAAGTAGAGTTCTATTGTATTAATGAAACTTTACACCCTCCTCCACATCTACATAAATCACATTCACAGGACATCCATGCAGTGTTAGTTTATATATACAAAAGTGTGGAAGGTTATACACTGAATTGTTAATCATCAGTATCTTGGAATGGTGATAGTACAGTGATTATTTTTTGATGTTCTCTCACTGGGTATGCCTTATTTAAGCAAAACTGTTTCCATTTTGGAAAAAAAAAAAGAATGACAAAGATAAGCTGGTTTTACTCAACTTTTCTAGATATTTGTACATTTTACCTAGGCTATGTTTGATTCTATTTCTATCCACAGGATGCTGGCTTTTCAATGAAACATGATTATACTGTCACTGAAGTTAAAACAATCCAGTCACAGAAAACAGTCATCCACAGGGGAAAAGAAAAATAGGGTCTTTCTAACAGTAACAGTGATCATGGGTTCAATGTACAATAGCTCAGAACAAAAATCAAAATAGCTGATTTTCCAATTTAATGCTATAATTAGAATGTCATCATAGCTATACATACAAAAGAACAAGTATAATAATATTGTGGTTTAAACTATTAAAAACCAAAACCTTATCTACTAGAAGACAAAAATATTACCGTGATTTCAGCTGAACCTTTCACAAAGGGAAATTCAAGTGTTCTAATTTTCCCATTAAAGAGAGGTATGTCATCTTCCTCATTAGAACCTTTAATGGTAGCCATTACAGTGCCAACCAAATCAACTCCAGTATGATTGTTGTAGTCATCCTTAAAGTAAACAATGAAAAGTTTCAGAAAACTAATTAAAAGAAGTGGAAAAAAGATCAGAGATGGACATGGGAAAATCAGAATATGACCTATTTCTAAAGTTAAATCACCCTGATCCTTCTTACTCCAAACACAGAATTCAGATCTCAGAGTTAGAGCTCTACAGGCAGGAAATAATCCCAGAAACCATAAAGAACCAAAAGTTCCCACCTGGTACAATGATCCCCAATTTTATTAAAAGGACTCACATTTAAAAAAGTGTTATGTACCTTCAGCATCTATTTAAGATCAAGGGAAAACCAGTTTAAGAACCACTTAAGTTTCATGGTCTAAAACAGAAAAACACTGAAGGTGTTAACAACTCTATTAGCCAAATTTCTCAAAAAATGAAGTCCCACTAGTGTGTTTTAGATGTTGTTGTTAATATTCTTAGCAGCCCTATTTTTGCTTACCCTCTGGGTAACCAGAAAGTTTTAAGGAGCTCATTATGATCAGTCATGATGGCAAACCTCTTCAAAATACATACTTAATTACTTCCTGCCCCTCACTGAAATGGACACTGAAGAATCGACTTACTTAACACATTCATAATACTTACATGAAATAGTGGATTAAAGATATACATTAGTAAAGGTGGGCAGATTTCTGCATTTTTTAATCACTTCTACTTAGTATATCTGGATTTATTTTATGTATAATTGAATTCATTCTCTATTTGTATTTAAGTATAAAGATACTGATAAGCATTTCATTAACTTGCATAAATTTTTCCTATAAACAGAGTAATTCAGATAGGATTCTATAATAACTGTCTTCCACCTTGAAACTAGGAATTAATTTTTGTTACCCTTGGTAATTTGGAAGTAAATAAACATTACCGTGATACGAAGATACAAATCTTTGACCAGGGTCCTACTGGCAACTGAGCGAACATTTGAAACAGCTGGTGTAGCTGGCTGAACTTCAGGAACTAACTTCACAGGTTGATTAGGTAGAACATCCACTATAATCTAACAAAAGGAGCATTCTAATTAACAACACATTAATGGTTTAGTATTTAAAGATGAAGAAACAGAGCATATCCTAAATAAAATGAAATACTACCTTCCAAAACATATTTCCATTAAATTCTTAAAACCAATCAACTTTTAAAAATTGAAAATAAAAGGCGTAACATTAATTTTCAAATGTTAACCATTTAAAAACAAATTTAGAAACACTTAACAATACATGTAGTTGTTAAAAAACTTTAGTGCACTAACAATAATGAATGGAGATGATGTATGTTAAAACTACCTTAAAACTTCATTATCTAGAATCCTGAAATGTTATTAATTGAAACATTTTCACATACAACTGAGAGGAGCAACCCTGACCATGATATAGATTAAAATGTTTACTAATCAAGTCCTCCATATAAACAGGGATAAAAAAGTAACTTCGTATCAGGTCAAGTTTAATCAACATAATTTAAGTATATATTATTCTAAAATTCCTGAAGATGGCATTATTTATATCTTTCATCCAATAATCAAACCACTTTTATTTTTTATTTTTTTAGTTCTACCAGTTTATTGCTACCAACCCATCTCCCTCCACCCTCATGCACACATGCTCAGTCATGTAATCCCATGGACTTCAGCCCGCCAGACTCCTCTGTCCGTGGATTTTTCCAGGCAAGAATACTGGAGTGGGTTGCCATTTCCTTCTCCATCAAACCACTTTTAAACAAAACACTTCAAACACTTCTCAACCAAGTAAGAAAACGTGAAGCTAACTAAAGCTAACTGCCATGCATAAAAAGAGTAAACAAACCTGCTCACTGTTAAGAATATTTGCTTTATCCATCGTAAAACCAAACTGGATACAGTATGTCCCCACCTTATTAGGAATTGCTTTATCCCTAAGTTAAGAAGAAAGAGATAAGATCACTGGTAACTTTTAAATAAAAGGGAAAGAAATTCAAAGCATTAACATTTCTTTTCTTTCCATGAAAAGTAAACGAGTAAAAAGAGAGTTACTTTACTACATTTAACTTCATTCATCAAATACTTCCTGCAACATCAAGCTTGCTATCAGTCCCTCTTACCTAGACATTCTATCACAAAACATCTAGAACAAAAACTCTGGATGTGGCAAACATTGAATATAAAGTTGATAAAGTAGTAAACACAATAAATGCTGAATTACATATCAAATGAATTTAGTTTCATTTACACACAAATTTCCATCTCAGTTTTATATTTCAAGTTTATAAACTATCCAACTGACCTTACGTTGCTTTGTTTTCCATTTATATGTTCTAAATAAGTAACTATGTAACTATATATGTATAAAAGATATTTATTGTAACTAAATTACCAATAAGGAACTTAGTAAGAGGTAGACTTGCTAGACTATTTTGGCCACAAACACAATGAATATATTAATGATGGAACAGTCAAATAAATAAATAAAATTTAGGAGTGAAACAACTATATACCTGTATCTATCCATATATATGTATATAAAGGGAAAGTAACACCTACTGCCTCACCAGATGATGAAATCTAATGTCATTCATGATAAATAGAAGTTCTTTTAGTAATGATTACAAATGAACAGCCTGATAATGATACCTACCCAAAATAAAGACCCTAAAGCAAACATCATACTTATGAGTGAAATGCTGAATGTCCCTTTTGGACTGGGAATGATTTTAGAATAATCACTTTCATTGTATCCATTCAACATTTTACTCTTAAGTCCTAGCCAGTGAGGTACAGCAAGGAAAAGAAATAAAACAACCAAGGATTAGAAAGCAATAAGCCTATCATTATTCACAGAGATGAGTGTGTAAATACCTAAAACTTCATTTTTGTTACTGGTCTGTAATAAGGTAACAAAACTCAAAATAGTTAGATTTTAGTAATAAAATATAGTAATATATTATATAGTAATCTTACATTGCCTTGATAAGTGCACACAGAAAGGACTCAATTCCAGTGTGATTACATTAGATTCAAATGTGTAAGTTTCAATAACAAAAACCCCAGAAGGCAAACAACAGTAAAGTATGGGGAAAAGAAGTCAATCAAAACTGTCCCTGAAAAACATCAGGAGGCTGATATACTAGACAAGGACTTCATTTTAAAGATGCTCAAAGTATTAAAAGAAGATGTGAAAAAAGTCAAGAAAGTAAGGTAAGGTGAAGACCAAAATATCAATTAAGGAGAAAACTTAAAAAGAAACCAAAAGCAAGTTCTGCAGCTGAAATGTACAATAACTGAAGTGAAAATTTCACTACAGGTATTCAAAGGCAGATTCAAGTATGTAGAAGAATTAATGAACTTGAAGATAAGACAGTGTAAATTATACAGTTTGAGGAACAAAAAGAAAAAAGACAGAAGGAAAGTGAACAGAGTGTAAGGGACCTGAGATGCATCAGGTGGACCAACATACACACTGTGGGAATAAAAGGAGAAAAAAGGGAAAAGGATGGCAGGGACAATTTTTTTTTAAATGGCTGTTAATTTCCCTAGTTTGATGAGAAACATTAATATAAATATCCCAGATGCTCAAGGATTTCCAAGTAAGGTAAAACCCAAAAAGACCAACACCAAGACACACTAACACAAACTTTCATAGGACAAAGAAAAAGAATATTAGCAGCAGCAAGAGGAAAGCAAATCATTATATACAAGGCATCCTCAACAAGGTCATGAATTTCTTATCAGTAAGTTTGAGAACACTGGCCTACTGACTTCTGACTTCCAAAGTGTTAAAAAAGAAACTGTCAACCAAGAATGTTCCTTTCGCCGCCGCCCTTTTGGAGCCACCAGAGCGCGGCCCGCGGCCCGCGGCGGTCCTCAGGCGCCGGCAGGCCTCGCCGGATCTGCGGGCGCAGTGTCTGTGGGCGCCTAGCCCGGCCGGGCCCACGTGCGCGCGGCCTGCCCCAGGCCGCCCGGGCTTCGCCTCGCCCGGTCCCTGGCCTCTACCGGGGCCTCGAGGAGGAGCCGCCGCGACGCCCGGCCTGCGGGGCAGGTGAAGAGATTATACATCTACTGAATGAAAATGTTTTTCTTAAAGTTGCATATACTCCAAGAAAAAAATCCCAAATGTTTTTATATTTTGCCTAAATATAAAATTTAAACAAGGAGTTTGCACAGAAAAAAAAAAAAAAGCTACTTTCAGCAAAACTGTCCCTCAAAAGTGAGGGAGAAATTAAAACACTCTCAGAGAGGACCCCCCCGGCTGCGCAGGGGTTAGGACTCAGGGACTCCACTGCAGGGAGGCAGGAGACCGCGGTGGGGGTCGGGGGCAGGGTTTGATCCCGGGTTGGGGAACTAAGATCCTGCATGCCGTGCAGCATGGCAACATTTTCATATGAGCAAAAGCTAAGAGAGTTCATTACCACTACACCCGGCCAAGAAGAAATGGTCAAGGGAGTCCTACAAGGTAAAGCAAAATAATAACAGATAGTAACTTGAAGCTATGTGGAAAAATACGGGTCTCAACAAAGTTAAAAACACACAGGTAATGGTGAATGCTGGTATTATTGTAACAACAATTTGTAATTGTACCTTTTGTTTTCTATTTGGCTTAATAAACTAATACATTTAATAAATAAAGCAATTTATTAGTTCAAAAGGCAAAAAGACATTTCTAATAAATGAAACCTTAGACACCATGTATCCAAAACCATTTACAGATTTCAAAGTACAGAAGCAACACTTAAAGTCACATAGTTAAATAAAAAAAACTAGTTCAGTTTTTTTATTTTGTAAGATCTTAAGTTTAGAATTATAGAAATCTATATATTATTATAAATGCTCTGACAACAGAATTCTTCTGAAGTTTTTGATAGTTCTGAAAGCAAATATGTCTATCACAACAATCTTTCCCAAAATCATTTTGCAAACTTTGCAGACAAAATATTTTCTCAAAAACTTTCCTGACCAAAAATTTTTTAAAAAAATAACATTTTCTATTTGATCATAAAATATTTCTCCTTAGCTAAACAGGCACATGTTGCCAACACTGATTAACTCTGTAACAAAATATGCATTAAAACATGAACTGATTTAAGAAATACCTGAAGTAGAAGCAGCCATCTTCTTTGTCATTATCCTTTATTTTATTACAACTAAATACTTCTACCTAGAAGGAAAAGTGGCAAAGGAGAAGAGGAGAGAAATCACAAACATTTAGCATAATATATTTAGGATAGAAACTTACTTTACTTTTACCAAGTATGAATCCAGATCACATGTGCATTGATAAGTACACATGAACACATGTATACATATATATATATATATCTTTATCATTTGTGTGTGACACAAAAGTGAGATTAGTTACAATGAAAAGATATACCATTAATTATTAAAGGACATATAACAGATCTTAATGGTGGTGACATAATTTTAGGTAACAGCAGCTTGGTGGGACTCATGGTATAAATTAAGGAAGCTAGTTTCCTAAACAGATGATTAAACTGAACCATAAATCCTAAAAGGCATTATTAAATCAGGACCCCTGATATAGTTTGGTTTATTTTCCAATTTGAGATTTATTTCAGTTTGGCACTATCTTGTATGGTAGCCCATAATGACTACTGAGCACCAGAAATGTGACTGGTTCAGATTGAGGAGATTTAAGCATAAAATATGTACCAAATTTCAAAGACTTGGAAAGATATGAGCATGTAAAACACCATTATTAAATTTTAAAATACTGAGTACATGGTGAAATGGTAATTTTTTAATATATTAGTTTAAAACTACATTAAATTAATTTTATTTATTTCTTTTCAATGTGGCTACTAGCAGAATTTAAGTATCACATGTGACTAGTACTGCATTTCTATTGGATTGTGCAGCTTTAGACTCAAACTGTCTGTCCACTCCACTACTCTGTACTCTATCAATTGTATTTCTTTCTCTCACTTTCTGTATTATCTTTTTTTTAATTAAAGCCTTTAAAAGTTTAAATTTAGTGTGTTGAAAATTTTTTTTTCAATCATCATGAAATGTAGGTATCAAAATATAATTCATTACACTTGGAATTAAAGTGTGGTGTTTTTCTTCCCCCCAATTTTTTTTATTAGTTGGAGGCTAATTACTTTACAATATTGTAGTGGTTTTTGCCATACATTGGAGTGAATCAGCCATGGATTTACATGTGTTCCCCATCCTGAACCCCCCCTCCCACCTCCCTCCCCATCCCATCCCTCTGGGTCTTCCCAGTGCACCAGCCCTGAGCACTTGTTTCATGCATCCAACTTGGAGTGGCGATCTGTTTCACACTTGATAAAATATACATGTTTCGATGCTGTTCTCTCAGATCATCCCACCCTTGCCTTCTCCCATAGAGTCCAAAAGTCTGTTCTATACATCTGTGTCTCTTTTTCTGTCTTGCATATAGGGTTATTGTCACCATCTTTTAAAATTCCATATATATGTTAGTATACTGTATTGGTGTTTTTCTTTCTGGCTTACTTCACTCTGTATAATGGGCTCCAGTTTCATCCACCTCATTAGAACTGATTCAAATGAATTCTTTTTAATGGCTGAGTCATATTCCATTGTGTATATGTACCACAGCTTTCTTATCCATTCGTCTGCTGATAGGCATCTAGGTTGCTTTCATGTCTTGGCTATTATACACAGTGCTGCAATGAACACTGAGGTACACGTGTCTCTTTCAGATCTGGTTTCCTCGGTGTGTATGCGCAGGAGTGGGATTGCTTCTGTATTATCTCTTAATGATATTTAGTGGTTTTCTGTCTTGTGCTACTGCTCTTTAGACTTATTTCTGAAACATACCCTGGTATATTTTTTAAAAATCTAAGTGATGGAATGGGTTACTTTCTAGTTCTACAGGATATACACACTGCATTTTATATTAAACTACATTTAATTTTATGTTAAATCTAAGAGCTACTTTTAACTTCTAAAATGCTTTCTATGACTTACATTTGCTGGTGGTCGGTTCCCACTGTTTGCCAGTTTCCACATTTTCATGGAAATACGTGCTGGATTAATATTTTTAATGATACTATCATCTTCAGAAATAACAGTAATCATAAAATCTGTAATGGGGAACATTAAAAAGTTATTTTCTTTCTAGTTCAATTAGTGGATTTGGTTAAATAATTGTATGTCTTTTTTTTAAAATTGTATGTCTTAAAGCATACATCTTGTTTAAATGTTAATAATAAAATTCTGATGAAGAAAGAAAACTATTTTTAATTAGTCTTCCCCAACTATTTGTCTACAGAACTATACAATCATAACAGGTACTGGATATAGATCAATAGTGCTAAACCTCCCACAGAAACCTAATGAACACATCTTTGATCCTTCAGTATTGTAAAGATGCTGATGTACAACTGTCACGTGTTTGTATAAACACATTATGTTCCTAGTTCATGCCATAAATGATGCTATAAAGTGAGAAAAAAAAAACACATCTTTGCCATTAATAGTCCTTTGTCTTATTTTCACAGTCTGCCAAGCAAGACCAAAAAGGTTAGACTGTGTTATCTGCAGCACAGGGAACTATATTTAATATCCTGTAACAAACCATAATAGAAAAGAATATGAAAAAGAAAGTGTGTATATATATGTATACCTGTGTCACTCTGCCATACAGCAGTGATTAAGACAACACTGTAAGTCAGTTATACTTCAGCAAAAATAAAAAGTTAGACTGAAGACAAAGCAATCTAGGTCAAGTGGTTACAAATCTATATACTTTATGTAGTCTGCGAATACAGTGTTTATGATTTTTCAATAGCATACCATAGTTAAACTAGTAATATTCCCTTATATTTATCATCTGTAATATTCATTGGTCATCTATTACAGTTTTTACACAGGAAATAGGACTTATCTTCTCAAACAGATTTAAAAATTTATGTACATACATAATTATTTTAAAATATTGTTAAATTTCAATTTAAACTTTCTCGTCTGCTTCTTTCACTGCACAGGAATTCATCCATTCAGGAAAATCAAAGTCTTCAAGAAAATGACCTATGCAAAGCAAATGTAATTTCCTATTGACTTGACAGCTGCCATATTACACAAGAAACATCTGCTTAGGTGACTGTCTCCTACATTAGACCGAACTCATTGAAAATTGCCATGTTCATTACTGGAACTAAGAATCTAGCATAGTGGGTGGACATAGCAGGTATTCAGTAAATGTCTGTTGTTACGAAGTGTCTTTAATCATAAATTATGTGATGCATTTCTATCCAAATTAAGTTGAACAGTCCTCACTTTCGTTTAACAGTGCAGCAGAGTTAGTGGAACACACCCCCGCAGCTCCTGCCACTCAGTACTTCATTCTTCTTTGGCAGAATCTCACAGTTCAGTGAATGAATAAACACACACTGAACCACTTTAAACTATCAGCTTATACATGCGCTTTAAGTTCATTCTTGACCATTAAAGGAATGTAGGATATAGAGGAGAGCAAAGACAAAGCTAAGCCTAACATTCTTTCTTTGCTATTTAAAAGTCCACAACATGATTGCTTTTTTATCACGCTGAGCACCTGGGATAAATAATTTACCCTGTTAATCTGAGAGGCAAATTATCACCACAAATTTATTTTAAAACTGAATTACTCACCAGTGAAAATTCCCCCTGCTAAAAAGGAAGCATCTTTGTCATATTTAACATTGAGACGAATGGGTTTTTCAGGGTCTGGAAGAATCATTAACTTAATTATGGGTCCTTCTATGGTATTCTTGTTATAAATGGCTTTAACCTGCATAATATGTTCTCCTCTAAAAAGAAAGAAAAAAGGAAAGGGGGGGGGGTTCAAATTTTGTTAGATATAATTAAAAATTCTGAGACAATTTATACAAAGTTTAACTCATTTAGGAAACCTCTCTACTCCTGTCTCATTCCAACTCCTGACGAACACTAAATAGACGGCTATGTATTACTCTTAACTTCATCAAGTAATAACAAAAATTAATCTCTCTAATACCAATAACTATCAAACTTTCAGTTCTTACCTAGGGGCAAAAACACTGAACACTCCCAAATTAGCTCTGCCCCTTTCATCGGTTTTATGCTGTTGGTTTGAAGGAGTGAGCTAAAAACAAAACAAAATGGTTAATTAGAAAATTCTAGGAATCAAATTCTTTTCCTCTATTACTATTTAAAAAGCTACATTTGCACATACTCTAAAATCTAAAATTGTCTAATTTAAACTAGCTGAAATAATATAATATGTAATCACACAATCCAAAGGATAACAATCATTCACACTGATGAGTTAAACTAGAATTTTGTGTATTTCAATTCTTAAGTTGCAGAATTCAGTGTTCACTCTTTCAATAACACTGCTATATCAAGTGAAGTTTGGTCACATAAATACAGAAGGTATATGCCAAAATTGGGGGGTTGTGGGAGACAGTGCAGGAGAAATAAACATAAATACACATACATAATTTTAAGTCAAGGCATAACACCATGTCCATGTTAGTTACTTCATCCTCTTAATGTTTACACAGATGTGTTTCTAAAATCTTTGTTGCAATACTACCATTGTAGTGATAATTAAGCTTTTACTTTTAAATGATTAACAATCAGTAGACACACTTCCTAATCACTTGTTAGAAGAATCTTTCAGTCTTTTGCAGATGCTTCTCTAAAAACGAGGATCATACTCTTATTTGGCGTACAATATAATCACTGTTTATCTCTTAGAAGCAAACATTAAGAACAAAAGTAAATTCGAAGACTGTAGTAGCAGAAAATCAGATTCTCTCCTAAATCCTAATACTTAACTTCTGTTTAACGGAACCTAAAAATTAGGTGATTGTGGTAAATGCAAAAAAAAAAGCAATCGTTGGAGAGACACAAGTGAGAAAAAGTAATTTAACTGCTAAAATAAAACCCTGCGTTTGCATCTGTCTCATTTACCTTCCAATCCATCCTCTCTCAACCTATCTTTTTCAGTCTTTCTTCCATCTGGGTCCTAAGTCTTTGCTGCTAAGCCAGAAGTCAGTCTTCTATGTCAGGCTATATAACAGCAATACTGTAGTTCTTTTTGACAGGCCTAAGACTTTTGACCCATTTTACTTTACCTTGAAAACTAGTCCATTGGATGACAAGTCATTCCTGGCACTTTAACCTTCTGTATAGTTTTGATTTATTATTTTTTTTTTTTGGACTGCACGCGTGGTTTACAGGATCATTGCCCCCTGCAATGGAAGCAAGGATCCCAAGCACTGGACCACCAGGGAATTTCCTTCTGTACAGCTTTACAGGTAAACAAGTTGAGTCCTGTGAAATCCTTACTCAAATTGTTAACTAATGGATTAATTTCAAGAGAACTGTGTATTTACATAATACAAACTGTTCGTATCTACTAAAATTATAAAATCTCTGGAAAGATGCTCAAGCATGGCTGAATATAATTCCAAGATCTCTTCTCTGTTGGCAACAACCTGGCTAGGACAAATGAATTCCCTTTAACCAACAGGAAAAACTTGTCAAAACATCACCTCACAAGGGCCTGACATCATCTTCCCCTTCCCCTTGCAGGAGGGCATCCAACTTTGTGCAAGACATCCAAAGTCTCCTCTAGATCCTAACATGACTATTCCAATACTCGTGTTAACAACTGGTACCTAACCCTGGTACCAGACAGAATGTGGTCCAGTGGAGAAGGGAATGGCAAACCACTTCAGTATTCTTGCCTTGAGAACCCCATAACAGTATGAAAAGGACACTGAAAGATGAACTCCCCAGGTCGGTAGGTGCCCAATATGCTACTGGATATCAGTGGAGAAATAACTCCAGAAAAATGAAGGGATGGAGCCAAAGCAAAAACAATACCCAGTTGTGGATGGGTCTGGTGATAGAAGCAAGGTTTGATGCTATAAAGAGCAATATTGCATAGGACCTGGAATGTTAGGTCCATGAATCAAGGCAAATTGGAAGTGGTCAAACAGGAGATGGCAAGAGTGAACATTGACATTCTAGGAATCAGCAAACTAAGATGGCTTGGAATGCGTGAATTTAACTCAGATGACCATTATATCTATTACTGTGGGCAGGAATCCCTTAGAAGAAATGGAGTAGCCATCATGGTCAACAAGAGTCCGAAATGCAGTACCTGGAGGCAATCTCAAAAACGACAGAATAATCTCTGTCTGTTTCAAAGGCAAACCATTCAATATCACAGTAATTCAAGTCTATGCCCTGACCAGCAACGCTGAAGAAGCGAAACTTGAATGGTTCTATGAAGAGACCTACAAGACCTTCTATAACTAACACCCAAAAAAGATGTCCTTTTCATTATAGGGGACTGGAATGCAAAAGTAGGAAGTCAAGAAACACCTGCAGTAACAGGCAAATTTGGCCTTAGAGTACAGAATGAAGTAGGGCAAAGGCTAATAGAGTTCTGCCAAAAGAATGCACTGGTCAGAGCAAACACCCTCTTTCAACAATACAAGAGAAGACTCTACACATGGACATCACCAGATGGTCAACACCGAAATCAGATTGATTATATTCTTTGCAGCCAAAGATGGAGAAGCTCTATACAGTCAGCAAAAACAAGACTGGAGGCTGACTGTGGCTCAGATCATGAACTCCTTATTGCCAAATTCAGAGTGAAATTGAAGTGGGGAAAACCACTAGACCATTCAGGTATGACCTAAATCAAATCCCTTATGACTATACAGTGCAAATGAGAAATAGATTTAAGGGACTAGACCTGACAGACAGAGTGCCTGATGAACTATGGATGGAGGTTCACGACACTGTACAGGAGACAGGAACCAAGACCAACCCCAAGAAGAGGAAATGCAAAAAAGCAAAATGGCTGTCTGAGGAGGCCTTACAAATAGCTATGGAAAGAAGAGAAGCGAAAAGCAAAGGAGAAAAAGAAAAATAGTCCCACCTGAATGCAGAGTTCCAAATAACAAGGAGAGATAGGAAAGCCTTCCTTAGTGATCAATGCAAAGAAATAGAGGAAAACAATAGAATGGGAAAGACAAGAGATCTCTTCAAGAAAATTGGAGATACCAAGGGAACATTTCATGCAAAGATGGGGTCAACAAAGGACAGAAATGGTATGGACCTAACAGAAGCAGAAGATATTAAGAAGAGGTGGCAACTATACACAGAAGAACTGTACAAAAAAGATCTTCACGATGCAGATAATCATGATGGTGTGATCACTCACCTAGAGCCAGACATCCTGGAATGTGAAGTCAAGTGGACCTTAGGAAGCATCACTACAAACAAACCTAGTGGAGGTGATGGACTTCCAGTTGAGCTATTTCAAATCCTGAAAGATGATGCTGTGAAAGCATCATTCATGCATCAATTGATGCATCATTGAAAGCATATTGATGCTGTGCACTCAATATGCCAGCATATTTGGAAAATTCAGCAGTGGCCACAGGACTGGAAAAGGTCAGTTTTCATTCAAATCCCAAAGAAAGTCAATGCCAAAGAATGCTCAAACCACCACATAATTGCACTCATCTCACACGCTAGCAAAGTAATGCTCAAAATTCTCGAAGCCAGGCTTCAACAATACATGAACCATGAACTTCCAGATGTTCAAGCTGTATTCAGAAAAGGCAGAGGAACCAGAGATCAAATTGCCAACATCTGCTGGATCATCGAAAAAGCAAGAGAGTTCCAGAAAAACATCTATTTCTGCTTTATTGACTATGCCAAAGCCTTTGACTGTGTGGATCACAACAAACTGTGGACAATTCTTCAAGAGGTGGGAATACCAGACCACCTGACCTGCCTCTTGAGAAATCTGTATGCAGGTCAGGAAGCACAGTTAGAACTGGACATGGAACAACAGACTGGTTCCAAATAGGAAAAGGAGTACGTCAAGGCTGTATATTGTCACCCTGCTCATTTAACTTATATGCAGGGTACATCATGAGAAACGCTGGGCTGGAGGAAGCACAAGACTGAATCAAGATTGCTGGGATAAATTATCAATAACCTCAGATATGCAGATGACACCACCCTTATGGCAGAAAGTGAAGAACTAAAGAGCCTCTTGATGAAAGTGAAAGAGGAGAGTGAAAAAGTTGGCTTAAAGCTCAACATTCAGAAAAGTGAGATCATGGCATCCCGTCCCATCACTTCATGGCAAATAGATGGAGAAACAGTGGTTGACTTTATTTTTCTGGCCTCCAAAATCACTGCAGATGGTGATTGAAGCCATGAAATTAAAAGACACTTACTCTTTGGAAGGAAAGTTATGACCAACCTAGACAGCATATTGAAAAGCAGAGATATTACTTCGTCAACAAAGGTCCATCTAGTCAATGCTATGGCTTTTCCAGTGGTCATGTACGGATGTGAGAGTTGGACAAGAAAGAAAGCTGAGCACCAAAGAATTGATGCTTTTGAACTGCGGTGTTGGAGAAGACTCTTGAGAGTCCCTTGGACTGCAAGGAGATCCAACCAGTCCATCCTAAAGGAGATCAGTCCTGGGTGTTCATTGCAAAGACTGATGTTAAAGCTCAAACTCCAATACTTTGGCCACCTGATACAAAGAGCTGACTCATATGAAAAGACCCTGATGCTGGGAAAGACTGAGGGCAGGAGGAGAAGGGGACAACAGAGGATGAGATGGCTGGATGGCATCACCGACTCCATGGACATGGGTTTGGGTGGACTCCAGGAGTTGGTGATGGACAGGGAGGCCTGGCGTGCTGAGATTCATGGGGTCGCAGAGTCGGACACAACTGAGTGGCTGAACTGAACTGAACCTAATCCTGAGCTTCCTGGTATCCAAGCACTATGTTTTCCCCCAAACATTACAAGGCCAGGTTCATGCTTGCTGATTTCCCTAGAATAGGTCTCAGTAGAGGTCCAACAGCTCTGCCCAGGTAGCTCTCCAAAAGGTAAGCAGAGCACAGCTACTCATGTGACTCTCTTGCTTCACCCTTAGAGCTTTTAAGTTTCCCAAATAACACCTGTTTCATAACCCAGACTGCAGGTCATTGTATCTAACTTCATTCACCTTGTCAACATTACCCGTTCCTAATCTGAAATTCAGATATTATTAATACTGTGTAATAAACAGTCATAATTAGAGACTGCTGCCTCTTGTTACACTGTCTGCAAAATATAAACTGTACTTCCTCAAAATAACTATTAAAATTTTAGACTGACAAAGTAAGCAACAAACCTGGGCAGACTCCAGGCAAGAGTGAGGGTAAGGGAGGCCTGGAACGCTCCAGTCCATGGGACCACAAAGAGTCAGACACAACTTAGGGACTGAGTAACAAAAACAAAACTAAGCAATAGTGAAGATTATAAAAGGGTATTTAAAATAAAAAAAGGTAACACCTAAAGACATGATACTGAGAATGAAGGCCAAAATTTTAAGTGAGAATTATTTAAGGATGTTTAAAACTTACCTTTAAATTGTTAGCTTTTACAAGACTTATTTTAACCTGTGGCACGGGTGCTGGATTATCCCACTGATCACAAAGTTGAACAATGAGAGGATTCTGCAATTCTCTTCCATTAATCACTGGAATGGACTAAAACAGATACAAATCTTTTAAGAAGCACTAAAACATGCCAAACAATATGGTTACTATTAAAGTGAAACGATCACTGAATTTATCTGTTTTACTCACAAATAGCTCCTTTCATCAATTAAAATAAACTTCTGAAAGTCAATTACATTGTCGCTAATAATCCTCTTCTTATAGAATGATTAAAAATTTAATAAAAGGGAAAATATATTTGACATTACTGGCTTCCAGAGCCAGTCAAGAATTCTGAAAATTACACATTGCAAGGACTTCAATGGAAACAGAAATTTATCTTAGGCTCTCATATTTAGCATTGGTCAATCTACAGTCTAACTTCTCCATCAACTGTTGGCACTCTGTCAAGTCTACATGAAGCAGTGTGGACAGCTTTCCAGCTCCTAGTCAAATAGGACTAGTCATGGATAAACTTAAACAAGTCAGTGTAGACTTAAAATGACTCTTGCTTTTCCCTTAATCCAAGTAAGGCCTGTATGACTCCGGAAATTTGTTTGCTGACCTAGGTATATCAAAGAAAACTCACTGTCAAGCAAGAAACCTGTTAAAGTCCAATCCTCTGTGTCAGATGTTAAAAGTTAAAGAAAAAAAGAAGATAGGAAAGACATAACTAGCAAAAAAGGAAAGTGATTTATCACCTCTCCTACTAGTAATGTTCCCTCTGCTTCCTCCATCCCTCCAATTATGTTAGGAGGTTGCTAAAAAGTGGGAGAAACATCAGTAATGTGTTAGGAACTTTTTTTAAAAAGATACCCTTGAAGCTGGTTTATGCTTGACTTGCAAAAAAATTTTCATGGATAGACTATATTCTGTGTGCTAAAGTTAATAAAAAGCCTGAATACACAAGAAGTGCTGATATTTCCAAATGTAAACACATCAGGGTCTTTATTTATAATTACATAATTGTCCATCTATCAAATAGCAACTAGCTGTAAAGAATATCTTCCAGTAAACAACTTAACAGCCCAAGCTGTTAGCTGAAAATTCTTCTGGGTAGTGGTGGAGAAAGGAAATAACCAAAATCAAATGTTCATGATTTGCCACTTATTAATACTGTTGTGCAATATAACATTTCAGAATTTGCTTCTTCATTTATAACGAAGGACAATACATAATAATGTTGTTGAAGATTAACTGAGAACATGTATGTATATTTATATAATTTTTCTATTTATCATGCTTAGGTGTTAAATTAGTTCCCCTTGCTATTTAAGATCCTGTGTGTGGAAGAGGGAGGTAAGTCAAAAATTAAATTGCAAAATTCTAGGAAAACCACATACTCAATGATTACATTTTCAGTCTTACCCACATATAACATATCTCTTAACAGAGGAGAATTAGTTTTAGGTTTTATTTTTAAAGCTTTTGGATTTCAATGATATCTGCAAATAAATCTGATAATAAATTTTTGAGTTAACAAGCTGTCATTAATTTTTATATTCCCCTCCTACAAAATCATTTAAAAACATGAACATGTAAAGATTTTTTCCACCTCAAGGGTACACAATTATTCCATGATATTGTCAGTCAACAAATTCTTTATTGACATCATTAGGTTTCTAATAAGGCATTGATTTATGCAGTAAATATGCTTCTATATAAAAATAAGTGCACTGTCTTTGCAGTACAACTCTTCAGTCAACAAGTGTTAAGGAAAAAATAGTTTTTAAATATTTTTTAAATTTACAAATCAAAAAAGGACAATCTCAAACTACAGCAGAGATATGTAAGCTTTTCTCAGGTGATCAGTTCCTTTGTGAGATAATTTCATCTACTGCCATGGTCATGTGAGATGATTTTCCATTAGAAAAAATAACCTTTTGTACCAACAGATAAGGCTCTGCCACACCATAACTGAACACCAGAATGTGAACATTTTAAAATCAGAATTCTAAAAATTTAATGAAAATTGAAAGGCAACAGATTTGACAGACATTTGCAAATTAGTATTTAAGATATGTATAACTATATGTATAGGGAAGCAAACTTATGTTTTTTAAGAGTATAATGAATGACTTGATATCTGGTATACATTTAAAAATTATAGCAAAAACATTTTTTTAATAAGCCAGTGAGAGAGAACAATGAAATAAAATTGGTGAAAATCAGTAACTGTTGAAACTGGGGGTTATCTATTTTTATTTTAATGCATATTTTTAATTTCTATAATAAAACTCTTTGAATTTGAAGTATCACTTTTTTTTTAACAAATGACACAGCGATAAATAACAAAGTACTAAAATTCATATTACTTTGTCTTTTTGTTATTGTTACTATTGTTACTACTCCAACAACAAAATATAACTTTGATCTACTAACATTCTGAAGCAGTTAGTAGGTCAAAATATTGATATTAAATTCTTTCAATCAAGGTAGGAAGGTACTTACCTCCTTTAACTCTGGCCAGTCTACAAGGAGAAGTTTAGCTGGTGGCCCAGAAACTAGCTGCACTCGAATAAAATCAGAAAATTCACGCCAAGTAAAGCAAAGATCCTTATTTCCAGGGGGACCTGGAATAAATCTGACTCCTCTCACGCTTATACTTTGTGTATTTTCCTAGTGAGGAAAAAGCACGTTGAAAAAAAAACAAAACACCAGGAAGATCATGTTTAGTTTTCAGAAAAAAGAAAGAAAATGTTGTCACTACCTATGTGCATACAGATGTGTTTCTGGTAAAACAACAGCAAGTAACACACATATGCCAATATTGGCGTGTCCTGAATTTCATTTCCTTCAGACAAGAAAGTGAAATTCTCTTCTGTAAGGGAGAGATCTGAAAGGTTCAACCTATGTCCTTTTCCTTATCTTTTCCTAATTTCCCTCTTCTTTACACTTGCACTGTCTCCCTTCTGTTCTCCGAATAGCACGTATGTGCCTGTCCAACAAGCTCCTTCCCTGTTTGCCACATTTTTTACCTACATGTTGAGATTACCAAGGGAATGTGCTTCAGAAGAGCAGTACATTTTATGAAGATGCAGAAATAATCTTAAAAAACAATGGCACATTAAAATCAGTATTTTATTTTAGAAAGACTTTAAAAACAACTTTGGTATTAAAAAAAAAAAATGGAAGGTTCCTGTTTTATGCAGAGATGAGGGGTAGACTTCTATTGTTTCTATGAAAGTGAGTCAAGATAGTACCTATCAGTCATAAAATGACAGTAGAACGGAGGTCAATTTGACTGGAGAATGAGCCACGGGAGGAGACAGGTGTGCTGCAGCAGAATACTATGGCGTACTTTAGGCACCCTAAGGAGACAGAGTCTAACCTCATAGTATAAAATGCTGACAGGGGGCATAAGATGGGAACTGAAAACTGACCCTCGATTTGGTCAGGTGGCACAGGGCAGAAAAACCCAGGAGGCCTGCCTGGGAATGAGACTGAAGAATGTGAAAATAGAGAGTGTCCATAACTCTTCAAGGAGCTACACTACAAAAAGGAGAAAAAGAGGGCAGTACTAGACGGACATGTTTCGGGGCCAAAGGAAGCTGTGAGGGGTGAGGGGAGAGAGAGTATGGCATGCTTGTATGCTGATGGGAATCTAACCAACAGGGAAAAACAAGATGTAGGAAAACAGGTTAGGAACAATTAGTTGAAAGAGGATGGGTGTCTATGCATAAAGTGACAGGAAGAAGAAACTGTTCGTGCACAACAGTGGTTATTATCTGACTTCATCTACACAGAGGGTGAAGCTAGACAAGAAAGCATCTGAAAGTCATAGATCAAACCTTATCTTTTACAGTAAACAAAACACCATCAGAAGTTCCTCAGCAGTGCTAAAATACTGTGGAAAAGGCGTTCTGAAAACTAGAAAATAACAGCATAGTAGGTTAGTGGAAACAAAAACTCCGGTTAGGAGGGGCAACCATGAGACTCTCATGATTATTCTGTTGGGTAAAACGGATAATGGAGGCTGCAAAAGGATGAAGAGGTTTAAAAACCACTAAATGCCCTAAGTGGATTCAACTTAGAATTCCTTCTTTCTGACCTGCTCTAGGCTGGCAGGATCCTTGAAGGCTCAACTCCAACATCTTTTCTCGAAAATGGTCTTTAATCTCTCCAAGAAGAGTACTTGTGTTTCCTTGCTTGTTTTAAACAGAAACAATTTCACCAGTGTTCTTATTTTTCAAGCTAATCTCAATTAACTGCATATCTGCACACTTTTACAACTAGAGTTCTCCCAGGTATCCTATTTAATGCAGGGACTGAGCACCAAGAAATTTTACTCAAATAGCTACATGAAAAACAACCTTTGTACACGTCAAAATACTTAGGGATGAAATGGTATGATGTATAGAATTTGCTTCAAAGTGACAGATAAGGGGGAAGTGATGAATGCTGAAGCTGACTGGTAGGACCATGGGAATTACTTATACTACTTATGCTATTTTTGTGTATGTTCAAAATTTTTGTGTATGTCTAAATTTTCATTAAAAAAATTACTTCAATGCCTTTTACAATTTTTCATTGTAAATACTGCAGTCAAATCTCTCTTATTTTTGTGTTTCCCAAACTTTCTGTTCTATATAATCTGAATGGAATAGTCAACTGTTAACGGGAAACAGTCATACCTGAAAAGTAGTTTTCAAATGTGGGCTATCAAGTCCAATCCCAGCAATTCCCAACGCAGACAGAGAATTTGGTGAAAATGCTTGAATCTGATTCCCATACTGATCTGTAACAGTTACAACTAAAAAGGGGGAGGCAGTTAATTTTACAGTATCTTAATTTAACATGATGTTGATGTCACATGTTTTACCATGAATATTTGAAGGAAATAATTTAGTGTCGTAATAATCTGGATATGAGAAAAATATAGCATGTGAATCATACTAACATTTATTTTATGCTCTTAGTATTAACCATTATAATTTCTAACAAAAGTCAACATTCTTTTCAACTAACTGTTTTCAGTTAGGTCAGCATAGGCAAAGATAGGGAAAATGCTTCAACGGTTTCAACAGTGGATTTTAAACCATTAACCATATATAAATCCAAAGTTTTCCTTTCAGATTATGTATGCCAAAAAATGAACATAAGGACATATTATAGAAGTGTTTTAAAGAAAGAAAGTAGGTCATGCTAACCTATTTCTCCTTGAAGCTCTTGACCCATCTGTACCGTTTTTCCTCCTTTTAATTCACATTTTAGATGTTTAGGTTCATCTGGAAGTGGTCTGAAATTGATTAACAAATTAAAGGTCTTAATTACACCATTAATTGTAGAAAAAAGTTTCAACATGCTAAGGAGTAACATATGTAATGCTCATTTTCTTAAACTTAAAAACAGTATCACTATTAATCCAAAGGGAAATAGAGAAAAGACAGCTTGCAAAGACAGTAGAGAACGCTGACCAAAAAAATAAATGCATGTTAGATCACAGTTATCTATCCTGGATTAAAAGGAAATTATGACATGAGAGCACTGAAAAAAAAAAGCAATGGGTTGGTAAGAATGACTCATCAAGAAATCTAGCTCTGACTGAAGAGTTGTACATCTGATAATTTTATCTCAGACATGGAGCTATTCTAAGTGTTGGAGTAGTATGGAAATGTGTACAGAATTAAAGTAGAAAAGGTTAATAAAAAAGAGGCAGCCAAGGAACTGAGAGGCCAGGGTGAAGGACAGGTCTTCTATATATTTACTTAAATTTTCCCCTTTTCTATCACGTAGACTCAGCTTTGAAAATCACAACTAATGAAAGAATTCCTTCTGAGCAACACACTGACTGATCACACTGCATCTTTTTTATTTCTCACATCTTTGTCATTTTCTAGGAGTTTTCACTGTTGCTTGTCCTAGGAGGACATTCCTTTAACAAAAGTTCTCGTTCTGACAGATACTAGTAAGGGCAAGTTAAGTAGAGGCTGAGAGTGATATTAAGAATGAATCACTATCATCAGTGAAGCTTTATTCCAAAGACAACCTGTTTCCAAGAAGTTGTGGAAATTTCTACATTAAAAAAATGATATGTATGCTTTGGTGAAAAGCATTTTTGTCACCATATGCTGAGTATCTCAAAATGTAATATGCCCACAAACCTTACTGTAAATGCACTTTCCAAAGACACATGATCGTCTTGGAATGAAACCTGGCAATAGCGCATATCTTTCACAGATGTTGGTACTTGTACATCAGGAAGCAGACCCTGCAGTAAGTGCTCTTTGTTAATCTCAGGAGTCCAATTAACCTAGAAGGGAAATTATATACTTAAGAATAACATAAAGTTTACTCGAATGTCTTCCAACTGCCAGTTATCTTACCAAAGACTCTTAAAAAATTATAATCTATCCTCCCCAACTCTAAGGAAAAAGGAAGGCCCTTTATGAACATAAATGATGGTGGTTCATATATTACTAAGAGAAAAGTTATCTTTTTCACTGTCTTCCCTGTTAATACTGCCACATCTTTCAATGCAATGAAATAACTACTACTAAATCATTCCTTTAGCACTTCGCCACAAGATTATTACTCTGGTCATTATAGTTTTAAAAAACTATGGGAATCAAATCATGTTATCAATTCTGAGAAGTTATAGTCAATTGTTTTTGTTTTTTCAAAAAGAATCTTGCTATTACAGGTTTTAATTGAGATATAAGTGGACCCTATTCAGCAAGGTGAGAAAAGTTAAATTCACTATGTAATTACCATCCTGGCCACATCTTGATCTTAATCCACTCTCAAATGTTTTTAGCTCTAATTTTAACTTTACATCTCTTAAACTCCATATTTTGTTATTTGTTATCCATTTTTAAAGTTGACTACCCCACTCTATTTTACTTTTAAACTTCCAATCCTTTCTATTTAAGAACTTTTAGTTCAACTTTATGCTTTTAGCCTTTATAGCTGTGATTCTTAAATCACTGATATTCTAATATTGTGATCCTAGTTTACACTGTTCTAACTTTCTTAGTTACCTTGTTATCTTTGTAAACCATTCTTTATATCTTTTTTCTTTTTTTAAATAGTGAAAGCAGAAGCAGGAGTTGCACAAAATGGCTGGCTTCCCTCACCCTAGCTGTGCTCTCTGCTCAGAGAATTCCTATGTCTGCTCAGAGAATTTCTCTATCAGTTTGGGTTGACTGTCCTCGGTAATAGAGAATTTTCTAAAGATTACACAGTCACTTTAAGTGTATACATTTAGTAAAAGTATAAATACCCTTTATAGTCAATAAAGGTACATGTTTTAAAATATTTGGAACCCAAGAAATATATCATGACTAGAATTGAGGAAAATGTGTCAAAAGCAGGCCACGAGCTTAAAGAATGGCAAAAAGAAGGTTATATACAGAAAGAGGCTCTCAAGTCAATGTTTATTCTTAATCTTAATAAGAAACTAAACTGGAAACAACATTATGAGAAAGCAAGGTATGAGTTCAGAAGCCAGGTTGCTAGTACCACTTTTAAACCACTTGCCTTCAGATCTGCTGAGAGAGAAAAATGGCTTGCCTCCCTTCCAAGCAGGATAAGGACTATTTCTCTCACAATCTTCCCTTCTCTTATTATGGAGGGAAAAAATAAACTGGCTGGAGCAACGGCTATTCCAAATAAGGTTTTAAAAATCATGTCAGCTGAACCCTGATAAACAATTCTTACAAGATATCAGATCCTATATCTTGGAGATTCAGGATGGCTACAGAATTTAATAGTGCAAGAGGAGAATTCTCCAGTGGTACAGTGATTATGACTCTGTACTTTCACTGTCAAGGGTCTGGGTTCAATCCCTGGTTGAGGAACTAAGATCCTGCAAGCTGTGCAGCATGGCAGGAAAAAAACACCACCATTTTAATTGGGTTGTTAGGTGAGCTGTTCAAGTTTCAGCATACAGATTCACCCTTTCAAGGTACAAATGCTACATTTAGATGGCAGGTCTGAGGACCATCTGAAGCTAGTGAGAACTGACAAAACCACTGTGTACGGATAACAATTTTAGAGACTACTATACCAATTTCAAATGGCCAAATCAGGGGTCTGGTTCGTAGTTCACAATACTGTGGTTCACAATACTGTTCTACCGTTTGCCTTCAACAGACCTTTTCTTTAGCACCTTCAGAATAGCTACAAAAATACTGCTCTGGTCAAGTGGAGATCTTAATTGTGAACAGAAATACAATTCATCAGGACTGGATTTTTGTTTAGGTGTCAAAATCATTTCTCTAAGCACAGATTTGACACATTCAACATTCCAATCTAGTGCATGTTTAAAAAAAAAAAAAAACTTTATTTAGCCTGGGATTTTAAATAACAATGCTGTTTTGCTGGGATGAGCACCTTCTTAAGAGGACAGCCTATATAACTTGTTCTTCCAAGCAAAAAATGTACAAAATTCTTGCAAATAATCTATTTGAGATACCTACTTTAATTTTCTCTGCCAAAGCTGATGTTATATGGATTTCTCTTTCTCCTTCATCATACATTTGAAAAATAAGATTATGCATAACATCTCCAGCTATCCAGTTAACCTCATCCTGATGTTTGATCTGGATGGCCTTCTGTCCTTCCACACTGAATATTTGTAATCTGGCAACGTGGCTACTGGGGAGCAACTTAATAGTCTTCTCCACTGGTGCCACATCTTTACAACTCTGGGAAGAGAGAAAAACACAAATACATACTGAATGAAAGCATCCGTACTGAAAACATCACTTTTGGCTTTTATGGTAAATCTTTCATATTGCTTAGGAATTTATCTCCAATATTATGGGAGATCATCTTATATATTGTTAACAATTACAAGTTCTCTCATTAAGAGGACACTGTACTGTTAGCAAGTCCATATTTTATACCATCAAGTTATAAATAGTGACAGTGGTCACATTCTCAAAACCTAAAACTAGCATATTTGGACTTAAAAGAACATTCCTCTTGGTAAATCTGCTTAAAAGTGTTGCAAACTTCTGAAAGTTTAATCATGTGACATAGAGTTGGTGTCAGCATTTATTAATAAGAACAAAGGTGTAATAAATTAAGAATTTTCTATAAAATCAGAGACAAATAACTGGCATAAAATATATTACTTTAAGGAGTTTCTAGAGCTTTTTCAATTCGTTTTTTACTGGGGTAAGTGGACAGAGTTGCTTGTAGCTAGATAAGGACTCTAGGTGCCCCAAAGGCTGAGCAGTTTGTAATTTGTCATAGGCACAGCAGTGTTTCAAAGATCAGCAGAGATGAGCTGGTATGCTACATAAATTGATTTTAGACATATGAAATTAAAACACTACATAATCATCTCAGAATCTAGGTATAGTTCATTCCATAGAATACAAAAAATTCAAGTCTAAACCTAAAATACCTTTACAATCCTGCTTCGTTAATGTCTCCTTCCTCATCTACTTGAGGTCATTCTATCAAAGCCCATTCACACAAATAATGACACAGTCAAAATTACTACTTCACAGAGTATCAGGCAAAAAACCCATCTGCTATTATAAGCACATCTTATTTGCCTGACTTAAAATTAAGAGTCACTGCTTTGCGATAACATTTTTAAACGGCATAATACAGGTATACTGTGGTCTTTAAGTGCCTTGGACTCTTGGTTTTCAGACTGCTGCTGCTCTGCAGTATTTACATAATTGTATGTAAATGTTCCCTTGCTTTCAAGACCATCTTTCCCCCTAACAACAAGTCTTTTCTTCCTGAATTGTCTAGATCTTTTGCAAGACAATATACTCAAACACACAATGCTCACATTACTGAAAAAAAGGAAACACACAACAAATGTTTTAAGATTATCAAACATAACTAGTTTCAAAAGAAAAGAATTATAATAAAGTCAAATCATCTCATTCTAATTTTAAAAAATAAATAAAAGTTTTTACCCTTTTGAGGCTCAGGATGTGTTAGCTGATGTATAGTTAGTTGGAAAAACATTGGTTAATCAACTGATTGGGTAAATCATCATCTACCACCATATCAATCATGAAGAAATCACATACAGATATTTTACTCGCGTAAGTACTTGTTATCTCATTCAGCAATCTTAGGAAATCATATGCTTCTATCAACTGCTTGCCCTCCTCTAGGCTGGCCTCATCTTCAGCCATGATGAACACCCAGTAACAAGTGTCGTACTGGCACATCAACACAGCACTCTCTTTATAGAATAATACTAAGAAAACCATGTATTTAAATTATACATACATATTAAATGTTAATATATCCTTCAGTGGTGGTTCAACAGAGACATTTATTAAACTTTCTAAGAAAAAGGTGTAAACTATAAGAAACAAACAATAAAATAAAACTGATAATTGTTACACTCTAATAACAGGAAAAAATAATTTTAGGAACATATAATCAACAACAGCTATAGATATTATAAAAGGTTTGAGCAAGAAATTTCTAATATCTGATACAAAGTGTTACCATTTCATTTTTGCCTTTTCTTCCCTCTGGCTAAAAGAATCACAAATATCTCATCTTAAAAAGTCAAACAACTTTACATGAAATATTAAAAGCTATTAAAGAGTATTCAAATAAAAAGTCAATAGAATACCAATGAAAAACAATAACAACTTACAGGTATTTCAATTTTTGCTTTAAGTGTCTGGTCTTTTTTAATATTCTGAACTTGTATTGCTGGTCCTGATAAAATACTAGTTCCAGAACTACTGCAATCCACAACATAGACTGGAAGGTTTGGAGCACCTGAAAACTATTGGAAGCATACAAAATAATTTAAGATCCCAATCAAACTTAATTGGTTACTCAATAACTTCTATTTTCAAATAATATAGTTTAGCTACTATTTCTGACTATAAATTAAGAGTACTGTAAGTATACTTCACTAATATCCTAGACAACTTTGAAAGGAGTAAGTTTCTACAATTCTAGGTAAAATGTGCTGATTTGGGAAGAAAAATCAACTTCCTTAACAATAATTCTTTCTTTTACTCTACCTATTTGGGTTTTCCTTTCCTTCTTGAGCTCTTTTACTCATATTCATTTACCCATCCATCCTTAATCCTAAAGGATAATTTTATCATTTTGCTCATAACTGAATACTTCATCTGAAATGAGGAGGATGGACAAAGGAAGGAGCGGGGAGGAATCTGTAGTTCTATACTTGGCACAGTTGGCATCATTATTGAATTAGAGATGTTGAAAATTATTGGCAATGAGATAGCCCACAAATTTCTGCATGGAATAATCATTACACAGTCTAGATACTATATAAAGCTTACTATAAAAGAGTCAAAAGATAGAGTGATTTCCAGTTACTACAATGGCACTGAAAATCTACACATTCTTATCTTGTGATAGCTTACCTTACAATGAACAATCAGCTTTGGTTGTACTGTTATATTGTCTGATTCATCCAAAACTTCCACCTGAAATGGGAAAGCTGTTCCATTTTCTATAACTAAAATTTCAGAATCAGGTTTCACTTTAATTCGATGAGGAGGACCTACCAGAAAATTATATAATGAAAATGAGATTCAGGTTTCCAAAAATGAAATGCTAAAATAGCAAGAGAAACAGCTTTTAACATTTTAAGTTTTAATATCTTTTAAATAATGCCGAGAGAGAAAGAAGAAATATCCATGGTTAATCATTTCTACCCCCAAATGAATAGATTCTACACACAACCACCAAATGCACTGATTCCCAATTGTATTAAATGTTTGAGATCTAGACTCAGTTTTATGGACAAGCTAAGACAAGTGATAACTCATGCTAGAAATCACTCAAATGTGTAAAATACTAAAAAGATCCTGGAAAACAGTATTCAAGAAAAAAAGGAAAAGTTTTGACTGATTTCTCAGGCACACTACATACCTCTATTAGGTAATTTTGCTCAAAGGATCAGTTCATGTAATGACATAACCAGATAATTTACTTGTTAGATTGCCCACAACCCTTTGATATCCTAAGCAAGCTGCACCATAATTTTCCTCTAAACTAATAAAAGAGGTTTTACACTTCAATAGCAGCATGACCTGTTGTGCCCTATAAACACTGATATTTTAAAATACAATTTATACTAAATACTGGGAACACAAGTTTACAAAGAACAAGTTATATCAGTTATATTTGTGTTTTAATCATATGCCAACTCTATTCTCGGAATCCTTACAATGACCTTGACCAAGAGGGTACTATTAGTATCATCCCCATTTTATACCAGAGGAAGCTGGGATCCAGAGACTAAGCATCCTGTCCAGGTCACATGGCTACAAGGGGCAGACTTGAGTTACTGACCACTCTGACTACACAGTCCCACTTCCCACCTCACAAGCATCACTCTCAACTTCTAAAAAAATTGCCAGCACTATCTGGTTAATAAGAAGTTCCCCTGAAAACGAAGCAACAGACAAAGGATTAATCTCAAAAATATACAAGCAACTCCTCCAGCTCAACTCCAGAAAAATAAATGACCCAATCAAAAAATGGGCCAAAGAACTGAACAGACATTTCTCCAAGGAAGACATACAGATGGCTAACAAACACATGAAAAGATGCTCAACATCACTCATTATCAGAGAAATGCAAATCAAAACCACAATGAGGTACCATTACACACCAGTCAGGATGGCTGCTATCCAAAAGTCTACAAGCAATAAATGCTGGAGGGGGTGTGGAGAAAAGGGAACCCTCTTACACTGTTGGTGGGAATGCAAATTAGTACAGCCACTATGGAAAACAGTGTGGAGATTTCTTAAAAAGCTGGAAATAGAACTGCCATATGACCCAGCAATCCCACTTCTGGGCATACACACCGAGGAAACCAGATCTGAAAGAGACACGTGTACCCCAATGTTCATCGCAGCACTGTTTATAATAGCCAGGACATGGAAGCAACCTAGATGCCCATCAGCAGACAAATGGATGAGGAAGCTGTGGTACATATACACCATGGAATATTACTCAGCCATTAAAAAGAATTCATTTGAATCAGTTCTAATGAGATGGATGAAACTGGAGCCCATTATACAGAGCGAAGTAAGCCAGAAAGATAAAGACCATTACAGTATACTAACACATATATATGGAATTTAGAAAGATGGTAACGATAACCCTATGTGCAAAACAGAAAAAGAGACTCCTATGTATAGAACAGACTTGTGGACTCTGGGAGAAGGCGAGGGTGGGATGTTTCAAGAGAACAGCATTGAAACACGTATATTATCTAGGGTGAAACAGATCACCAGCCCAGGTTGGGTGCATGAGACAAGTGCTCGGGCCTGGTGCACTGGGAAGACCCAGAGGGATCGGGTGGAGAGGGAGGTGGGAGGGGGGACCGGGATGGGGAATACATGTAAAAAAAAAAAAAAAAAAAAAGATACACTATGGTTGTGATAAAAAAAAATAAATAAAAAGAAGTTCCCCTGAGATTTGAATAACCCATATGTTTTAGCTAACCTTTCAAAATAAAAGAATCCTAAGTATTAATACGAAACAATTTTTTTTTTAATTTCTACCAATGGGCCACTCTTTACTTCTTTATCAATCCATGCTTGAAGGAAAGCTCAAACTACAAGAATCTGTGAAAGGAAATAGCCAATATGTTTCTTTTTCATTAAAATCAGTATAAAAGGTTTTTAGGTTGATAAATCATTACTCAAATTAACAACATAAAAGCATAAGAAACTTTTCTTCTTAAAATATGAAATATTTAGCTATATCAGAAAAAGTAAAGGACAGATCCAGTTCTAATGTAAGCCTAACTGTACATCCTTAAGAATAGCTTCACAATGTGTTTTCAATATTCACATTATTCTTTCAGGATTATTTTTAGAACTTAACTCAAGTCTTCCTAAATGTTACCGTTTTTTAATTGATTATTTCTGTTAGTGTTATGCATGACATTCAAATGTATTTTCAAGGCTTATACCATAACCAACCAAAAATCACTTCACCTTTCTAAGTGTCATTATACTTTATCATAAGAATATCATTTAAAAGGAAAATATGAGGAATATTTCTCAAAGGAATATTACCTGGAAGTAATCTAATTTTTAAAATCTGTGAGTCTTCTTTTAAACCCGGCAGAATAACCTTCAGATTAAAATTCTGTTAAAAAAATTATTTTAATTAAATTCAAATCCTAAATAAATACTCAAGTAATTTACCACCTCAATTCTGACTTATTTTTTGCTTTTCATTTTCCTATCATTAGAGAAAGTCACTCAGCAAATTTATATTGACTAAAATTATCATATGTATGTATGAAAGAAATGCAGGTGAAAAAATTGACTAATATTGCTTCTTTACAGACAATACTATCTTCAAATTCAAAAGGCATACCCTCTGAATAATTACCAGAATTAAGCTGGGTACTATAAAAATCTGGAAAGTAGTAAAATGGAAAACCCCCCAAATCTACACATTTCTAAATATAATGTCATATTCTAGATTAGATTCCAGTATAGAAAACTACAGCGGAGAAACTGGCGAAATGTTGAAGTCCAGAGTTTTGTTAATAGTATTATATCAATGACAATACTGGATAAATATGCAATGCTTATATAAGATATTTAATAGAGGAAGCTGAGTGAAATACATGTGAACTCTCTATACCATCTCTGCAACTCTTCTGTAAAAATAATTATTTCAAAATAAAAAGGTTTTTAAAACCTAGAAATCTTTTTAAGTACATTTACTAAAGTCAAAATTTCCATGAACTTCAAGTTCTTCTTCCAGAAACAGCTTAATTCAGGAGGATGGACAGAACTTGCTCTTTGCTTTAATGCAGTAAACTCACATGCTCAATTTTAAACATTATTTTGGCAGGGAAAATTTTTAAAATATATATTGAAGGTAATGATACATTGGGGAAAAAACTAACATATCACTTAAGTTATTAGCTAGTGTTCACATTAGTCATAGTAATCTATTAGCTACTCTATATACTTAACTGAAAAATTACCTTATTGCAGTTTGCCTTTACCATCCCTAACTTTATTCCTCCCTCTTCCTTTATCCAAATTCCAAACTCAATACATTTACAAAGTAAGCTAAAGTTTCTCATATTTTTGTTCCTATTCTAAGAAAAATATTGAAAATAGAAAAAGAGCTAGAAAAGCAGCAACATAGTACTAGATAAATGTCAAAAATGGCTTTGACTATGAAAAGACTGGAATGAAAATAAAGACAGTTGAAAATATTTAGCTCATAACCATTTAAAAAACAACAGTAGCAAATATGCTGGTCTTCCTCAGAGATGAAAGTGGTAATGGTGTGTCAGGTCACATGATGCTGATTAATCCCTAAGAACCTGACGTTACTGTCATCTTGCCACAAAACTAGGTTATTCAATTTTAAATATCCAATTTCATTTTTACTATGTAAGAAATAAACATGCATTATAATACATACGTACAATGCTTACCTTGCCTTGACAAGAGTTTACAGGGCCCTTAGCTGTAACACCTCGAATGACACAATTTGGTCCTTTGGTTATTTCTTCATAATGTAAAGTTAAACCACTGGAAAAAATAAATTATTTTTTAACTTTTCCTCCATTATCTACAAATAAGCTGCAAATGTTCTTTTTTCGGGGGGTGGTGGGTGGGGGCAGTGGGGGTTGGCCTACACCACACGACTTGCAGGATCTTAGTTCCCTGACCAGGGACTGGAAATCGGTCCTCAACAGTGAAAGCACACAGCCCTAACTCCAAATTAACTGACCCCAAATTGCAAACTCCACACCCAGTCATCAAGATACTTGGCAATTTTTCTTGAAAACATGAATGTGATAGGTTATATTCACTTTACCATGTAACAGAGTTAAGCTTTCCTTCAGTTTTTACAAACTCTTTATCAGATTGTGATGATCACACTCTGGTTTACTGTTTATTCAATCATAAAATTGTTCCCTTTCTCTCCTACCTTTGTGAAGAAGTTTTCTAGGCTGACAGTAGGTTCTGTTTTTATATATTTTCCCAACACAAAGGACAGAGGAAATTCCCAGGATGATCAGGAAAGAAGACCAGAGAAGGACAAACCTAACAAGCTTAAGAGCTGATCCATACAGACCACATCACAAAGTTCCAAGGGAGATGTCTAAGGAATATGAAACTGACCAGTTATCTATGTACAAACATCTTGAAAAGAGACCAGACAACTGGCAGAGAGCTATTTGGCAAAATAAAAGAAGTATAACAGCTGTGCAATAAAGTAATTAGCACTTACATAATTTTAATAAAGCAAGCACCAAGTACTGATCAAGCCAGAGTATAACTTTACTAAAAAATGTGGGAATAGGAAGGAGGCTTATTTGTAATGTAAATGGCAACAAGAGTGTGTCCTCATCTTCCTTAGCCTTAAGTCAAGAGATAAAGCTTAAAACTGAAGAATCAAGAAGCAGTAACATAAAAGTTACTTACATATATGGCAGCAGGTACCAAAAAATTCAAGTAGAAAGCTGAAAGTGGTTCTGAGCAGTGGATTGTTGGTGAGGTGGAGAGGGCAGAAGAACTACTCTTTTTTTTTTTTATTTTTTTTTTAAATGAGCTTTATCAACCTATTTGATTCTTTATCAACCTATATGTGTGAATTATTTTTATTTTAATTTAGTTAACACTGAAAAAACCCAAAAAACCCCACTCTACAAAGATCTTACTTTAATGAAGACAAATACACACAGCCAGGCCACCAAGCCTTTTTTTTTTAAGTCCCAAATCTTAATTACCAGTATGTATGTGTGATAGACACTCTGTAAGAATATCTTATCAAGGATAAGATGGAAGATATAATTAAAAACAGGGGTCAACTAACACACAAATATTTCCCATTCGTGACTAGATGGATTACATTTTTAGTGTTCTTTCTTTTTAAACAGGCTTCCCTTGTGGCTCAGACAGTAAAGAGTCTGCCTGCAATGTGGGAGACGAGGGTTCGATCCCTGGGTCAGGAAGATCCCTTGGAGAAGGAAATGGCAACACACTCCAGTACTCTTGCCTGGAAAATCCCATGGGTGGAGGAGACTGGCAGGCTATTTTTAAACATAAATGTTTGAGTATTCAACTCTTCCATTATGGCTTAATATTCAAATGGATGCAATATGTAAAAATCACTTTTTGCAAAAGAATCACTTTTTGCACAAGAAACATATTTTGCAACTTAAGAGAATATTTAGAAAAATTCACTTGCAATATTTTTTATAACTGATTTGTTTTTCGGGAACTTAACCATGGTACAAATCTGGACACTAAGCTATATCTCACTAGTCTCTGAGCTTCTAGAGGCAAATCCTATATTCTTATTCACTTCTATGTCTCCAGCTAGCAAATGCCTGGAATACAGTACATACTCAAATGATTAAAAGAGCAAATAATTACACCAAAAGGGGAAAAAAGTACACATCAATAGCAAAAGAAAGCATACATTAAAAAGTGGGCCCCAAAGACAAATTTGGCAGAAATGTGAGAAAAATAATCTCTCCCTAGGCACCTCAGAAACAGGTAATGGAAAACAATGAACATCCTCAATTAAATAATTGGACGCTTTCAGAGCTATTTCTTAATATAAGCCAATCATTTCATTCTATAGGGTTACTAAGTAAAGGCAAATTCCAGGGAAGGACCAAATTTCCATGGAAACCACAAACTTTATTGCTACAGTTTTAAACACAAACCAAAATAAATTATACTAACAGGTTAAAAGCCTACCAGTAGGTAACCGCTAAGGTTAAATGCCCATAATTTCTAAGCAAACAACAAATTAAACATTGTATAGCGTATAGACCTGCCAAGAGACGTCATATTGTACTTGCAAAAAAAAAAAAAAAAAAGTAAGACAGACCTATCAGTCTCAACCAAGTAACTGTAACAGCAAAAATTCAGTCCAAACAAACTTTCCTGAGGTGATTCATGTATGACACTACAGCTGCAGAGAACAGCTTGGTACTAACTAAATCCCCCAGGTATCATAAAACATCAACATTTTAAATAAATCTGAAGTTAACTCAACACAAATAATTTAAGCTCAAAGAAGTGAATACTCAGCAAATATGAACATTCAGATTACCTTGCTTCAAAAACTGGCTGAATATCAGTTGACAGTTGACTAGTATGACCAAATTCATCCTGAAACTCCACGGGGATATTGAATGGGACTCCAACACGAAACGGAGGATCCAAAAGACCGAACAAAAATTTCTCTGGTTTACCCTCTTAAAAAAAAAAGCATAAAAAGAAAATTCATCAGTCAGAGATTCATTGTAGGTAAAAACATCTATTTACGTACAGAAGATTAAACTACAATAAAGATGGCATTTTAAATCTGAGCAAAATTTACATAAATTATATCTATAATATACCTGTGAAAATAACAGTTAACTTACATGATATATAAATAAGTCTACAAAGAGAGATAAATGTGTTTTTAAACTATGAAATTATTCAAATAAAGAAATGCTTATAATTTTATCAAAGGAAAAAGTAAGGCAAAACACAATATTCAATAGCTATTCAAGGATATATGTGACAAAGATTAAAATATTTTAGTAGATACAAAGTCAATAGAGAAGCTCCATATGAGAAAACATTTGCAGTGTTTGCCATGAAGGATTTAAATCCTAAATACATTAAAACTTCCTATAAACAGCTATTGTTAAAATGTGGTCTATAGTCTAACAGTTTCAAGTCATCCCTTGTGAAATTATTAGAAATGCAAATTCCAAGATTCACCTTATCCTGTGTCAGATACTCTAGGAGTGAGGCCCACCAGTCTACAGTTTAATAAGCCCTGCGGGTGATTCATATAAAACTGATATTTGAGAACTACAGTTTCACACTATTAAAATGTCCATAGACTTTCACAGAATGACAATGTCCAATAAAGGCTAAAGAGATACACAACCTAATAATTAAATAATTTAACCACCAACTAGGCTAAATAAATACTGTAATATAGCTTGGCCAGCAATGAGCATAGGGAAATAGGAACCCTAAGTCTGTTGGTGAGGGTACCTAACCTTTTAGAAGGCAACTTGATAGAAAATATATATAAAATGTTAAAGCACATATTGATACATTTCAGTTTGGCAATTCTACTTCTTGGGATCCACTCTAGAGAAATTCTAGCACATGTACACAAAACATCATTTCCGTGCCCCCATATAGAGACGTGATTTGTAATAGTCCCCAAACTGAAAATACCTGAAATGTTCATCAAAGAAAACTGCTTAAACTACAGCACATCCCTACTGTGGAATGTTCCACAGGTGTTATTTAAAGAACATGGTAGATTTGTATGTACAAAAAGGAACACTCCCCAAGGTGGCCTTCTGATTAGAGAAGGCAAAATGATTGCAGGCACTTAAAAATCAGCTCTCTAAAACCCCATAATAATATGATACCACAGAGCTTTCTTTTTAAAGAGGCCTAAACCTTCAAAAACAAAGAACAAAAAAAAGACAACAGTAACAGAATTTGAAAGCTAGAGAGCACATGGACAAGTATAATTCTCCAGGCAAGAATACTGGAATGGGTTGCCATTTCCTTCTCCAGGGGATCTTCCCGACCAAGGAATTGAACCTGGATCTCCTGCATTGCAGGCGGATGCTTTACCATCTGAGCTACTGGGGAAGCAATATGGACCTAACAGAAAGACTCAAAAAATCAAATCCTCAATCATCAACAAAGCTAGCAGAGAGCCAATTTAATTCGCACTATGTAACATTCAAAAGTCTCAATCACGGCTCTATCAAGTAGGAGTGAAACTGGAATAAAAGAGAAAGACAAGCTCCAGTCTGTCAGAATCAGCTCCTAAGATACCCATGCCTCAATACACAGAGCCAGTCAACTACCTCCTTCATTTTCAGCAACATTTGGAAGTTTCTCCTCTGGGGAAGGTAAGAGTAGGTCCAAGGAGTGACCTACTTCTGAACACTGGACACAGCACTACTGAAAGTGCCAGTTTACTGAAAACAGGCAAATCAAGTGGAAGATTAATACTGAATGTGAAATATCTAACAATCTTTTCCAGCTTGGCTCCCCAAATTATGGCACCTAGGTGTTTACACTCCACTCTGGAGAATCTGAACAGCCAGAGAAAAAAACCTAAGATTTGCTTATCATAATCTCCCCAAATGAAATAAATGCTCTCAAATGTCCTATTCTTAAAGGTGTGTACTAGTAATGTAAGACAGCAACTAATAGGAAAGACCCAGTGCAGATGTGAAAAAAAAAGCAACATCGAGGGAACAGGCTATGAATCACGTTTAAAAACATCAAGGAAAAAATACCATTATTAATAGCCTCAGAGAATTTAATAAAAATATTGAATCCATGAAGTCAGAAGAAAATGTTCTGAAAAGGAAATAACCTTTTCAAATAAGTATTTATTAGAGAAAAAAATATTTTAGAAACTAAAAAATTATAGCAGAAAGAAAAAAATCAAAAGAAAACATCAAACATCATGTTAAGGAAGTCTCTTATAAAGTAGAAAAACAGAACCAAGTGATGGAAAGTAGAAAACACGGTATACCAATTAAGAAGTCCAACGTCTGAACACTAGATGCTGTAGAAAGAAAAAAGAACAGAAATCAAAGTAACTCAGAAAAACTCCTAGAACTTAAAATGTCAGAGATTGGGACCCAAACTCTAAATTATTCAAACATCTGAGGATTATGGAAGAGAGAGAATGGGGATAGTTGGATTGGGCGTGGGTGTTTAACATATAAAATTCAGGAATCAGAGTAACTTTAAACTCTACCAGTAACAAAGGAAGCTAGAAAATGATGATTTCAAAAATTTATAAGGAGCATGATTATCAAGCAGAGTTATAGTTATTTCTAAAGCCAAAATGGTTATACAATTGGTCAAACATCTTTTATCAAATTTTCTATATTCCTCTTGATTTAAAATGCCACCTTTAGCATAGAGAGTTACATATTGGTGTTTTGCTTACCTTTAACAGAAAATTTAATTGCTTTAGATGGTAGTGGCCTTCCTGCATAAGTGTCCGCATTACTTTCATTCAGGACAACTTGCAATTTCAATGTATAATTCCCCAACTTGTGAATGTTTTCTGGACAAATTAATAAGAAATTAAAATTCAAGTAAACACAATACTGATATAATTTTTAATATTCAGAGTAACAACTCACCCATTTTTTTAAACCAGTACGGCCATTTTCCTCCATGTTGACTAATATGTGAAATGATTTCTTTATTTCCACTTGAAGCTTAATAAAAGAAAAAAAATTTATATTTTGAGAAACTAAATATAGAACATGAATATGAAATGTCACACTGGCATCAAATATCTGTTGTACATTTTTAAAAATAGCTTTTAAACTTCAAAAGACCTAAAATTATCCTATGCAAGTCAACAGCATAATGAAAATTTACTTTTTCAGCCAATTAAAATTCCTTTAATTCTTAAAAATGTATCTGTAAATAAGCTTAACTGGTACAAACAACAATATATTTAATTTTTTTTATATATTAAAAATCATTTCTTTGCAAGTTTTCTTCAAGATTAAACCACAATTGTGTGTTTACATAATCTCTAAGACCTAGTGTCTATTAAGAGGCCTGATGAAGGAGAAAGGAAACAGAAGGATGATAGCACTTTTCTGAAATATTCTTTGCTATTTATTTTTGTTTTTAGAATCATGTAAATGACTTTAAAAATTCAAAAAATGGGGAAAAAAAATTCACAAAATGGAATTAAAGCAATTCATAAGCAAAAGCAAACTGTAGGTAGGTGATATGACCACATTAAAAAAAATTATTTCAAGTGACTTCAATTTTAGAATATATAAAAACTTTAAAGACAAATAACACTGCAAAGAAGTCAAAATTAATCTAACAGTCTTATTATCAGTAATTTTAATTAAGCCTTTATACTGCCTTTCCAGCAAAAGTTGTGTTTCAAAATAAATCAATGACCATAACTGATATAGGAAATTTCTTACTAATTAATAAACCAAAAAGGATAATAAATTGAGATAATAGGACAATAAATTAGAAGAAATGAAAGAATCATTGGGAAAACCCACTATATTGCATACCAAACAACAAAGCAAAAATCACTAATGGATGAAACTCTTACAACATGGATGAAAGAAGAACTTTATAATCATACCAGCCAAGTGAATTCAATAATCCATTCCAGTAGCACTAAAAGTGGGACAATTAACTATAGCCATCAAATGCCTCGGATGTAATACCAAAAACACAAATTCGCTACAAAGTATTGATTCTTGCTTTAGAAGAGGGAAAATAGTGAACCTAAATCTATTCAAGGTTTGGGGGTAATTTCTAGTCTTCAGGAAATAGAAAAAACAGTAGAACAAGTTAAATAACATTACAAAGAAACAGGCAAGTATGTGCAACACTCTACAGTACAATAAAGTATAGATTTAAAAATGACTGAGACCATAAATTTGTTATACATTTTACCAGAAAAAACAAACCTTTTAAGTATTTCATATATAAATATATACCAGGCAGACCTTAGAGATATGGTAGGCTTGGCTTCATAAACAACAAAACAAGGATCACAATAAAGGAAGCTACATAAATGTTTCCACTTCCCAGTGCATATAAGCTTTGTTTATACTATACTCTAGTCTATTGAGTGTGCAATAGCATTATTTCTTTTAAAAAATAATGTCAGTCAGTCAGTTCAGTCACTCAGTTGTGCCTGATTCTTTGCGACACCATGGACTGCAGCACGCCAGGCCTCCCTGTCCATCACCAACTCCCAGAGTTTACTCAAACTCATATCCATTGAGTCGGTGATGCCATCTAACCATCTCATCCTCTATCATCCTCTTCTCCTGCCTTCAATCTTTCCCAGCATCATGGACTTATCAAATGAGTCAGCTCTTCGCATCAGGTGGCCAAAGTATTAAGAGTTTCAGGCTCAACATCAGTCCTTCCAATGTATATTCCGGACTGATCTCCTTTAGGATGGACTGACTGGATCTCCTTGCAGTTCAAGGGACTCTCAAGTCTTCTCCAACACCACAGTTCAAAAGCATCAATTCTTCGGCGCTCAGCTTTCTTTGTAGTCCAACTCTCATACTCATACATAACTACTGGAAAAACCATAGCCTTGACTAGACAGACCTTTGTTGGCAAAGTAATGTCTCTGCTTTTTAATATGCTATCTAGGTTGGTCATAACTTTCCTTCCAAGGAGTAATGTCTTTTAATTTCATGGCTACAATCACCATCTGCAGTGACTTTGGAGCCCAAAAAAATAAAAGTCTGCCACTGTTTCCACTGTTTCTCCATCTATTTGCCATGAAGTGATGGGACCAGATGCCATGATCTTTGTTTTCTGAATGTTGAGCTTTAAGCCAACTTTTTTTCACTCTCCTCTTTCACTTTCATCAAAAGGCTCTTTAGTTCTTCACTTTCTGCCATAAGGGTGGTGTCATCTGCATATCTGAGGTTATTGATATTTCTCCCAGCAATCTTGATTCCAGCTTGTGCTTCATCCAGTCCAGCGTTTCTCATGATGTAATCTGCATATAAGTTAAAAAAGCAGGGTGACAATATACAGCCTTGACATACTCCTTTTCCTATTTGGAACCAGTCTGTTGTTGTTCCATGTCCAGTTCTAACTGTTGCTTCCTGTCCTGCATACAGATTTCTCAAAAGGCAGGTCAGGTGGTCTGGTATTCATAATTTTCCACAGTTTATTATGATCCACAGAGTCAAAAATAAAAAGTACTTTATTGCTAATAATGCTAATATTCATCTGAATCTTCAGCAAGTTGTAGCAATAACATCAAAGACCACTAATCACAGATCATTATAACAAATGCAATTTTTAAAAAGTTTGAAAAGTTGCCAGAATGACCAAAATGTGACACAGGGACATTAAGTGAGCAAATACTGTTGGGAAAATGGCATTAACAGACTTGCTTAACACAGAGTTGCCATAAACCTGAAATCCATAAAAAATGCAGTATATGCAAATAGCAATAAAGCAAAGCTCAATTAAATGAGGTATGCCTGGTGCGCTGCAGTCCATGGGGTCACAAAGAGTAGAACACAACTGAGCAACTGAACTGATGCTTGTATGTAGTTTTGTGAGGTTTGTTTTTTTAAATAAGAGGGAGGCAGGATGGTCGGAGTTACAAAGAGATTGGAAGATGCTACACTGTTGGCTCTTAAGATGGAGGAAGGGACCACAAGGCCAAGGAATGTGGGTGACTTCTAGAAATGGAAAGGCAAGCCTTCCCTACAACCTCCAGAAAGTCGCTATCCTGCTGACACTTTGATTTCAGCACAGAACTGTAAGATAGCAAACATACTGTTTTAAGCCACCAAAAAACCAAAACCAAAACCCTGGAGAAATACAGAACAGTGTGTCACAGAGGCCAAAAAGAGAGTACTGCCGTAAAGTGAGGTAGCCAAACTGTTCAATGCTGCTGAGGCTAAAAAGACATTTATATGATGAAAGTATACACTACCACTGACTAGTTTATAAATGTTGGAAATAAACACACAGTGAATAAAACACTGTATCTGTAAAATCCATGGAACAGACATGTAAGTATATAGTGGTAGAACAGATTATTGAAAACACATATTGAAAATACTTTCAGGTGGTCAAGACAAAAACAAGAGACAAGAATTACAAGGTGACTCAAGTTAGGAAAATACAAGATGAGTGATAATATGTAGTTCTTCTCCCTTTAACAAAGAGTGGGCCACGTTTCTCAACTGAAACAAGTACTTCCCATCCATAGGTTCAGAGACACAGTATCTTTGATTTAGAAGGCATCTTAAGGATTATCCAATCTAAATCCCTAATTCAGTACAAACTCATATGCATACACATCATATCTTTATTTTAGCCTATAGCTGCCTCCATAGGAAAATTCAGAATAGAGTGTTTAAAAAAAAACCCAAAAACCCTAAGAAAACAACTGAGTTTTTAAAAAATGAATTATCCGTAACACTTTAGAAAGTCTTAACTTCAAAGCACTATCTATCAGATTGCTAGGCCATCAATAAATTCCACAAAGATGTTAAAATATGTACTATATATTTACGAACAACAGTAACGATCCAAACATACAAATTAGCATGTATACTTACAGTGTAATATAACTTTGAGTTCAACCAGGAGTTTCTTTGACCCTCCATGACTTGTTCCTGGAAGCTTCTGCATCGCTTCCCCTTTTTTATTTAATATTTCAATTCTTAATGCACCTATCAGTCCAAAATTAAAAATAAGAACATCTTAGTTACACCCAATGAATCTGATGAATCTGCCAGGTCTTCACATAGCTTTTTAATTTTTTATCATTTTTTTTTACCATGAAATGTTAAGAAGAAAAGCATTTTTTCAGTATTTAAAATACACACACACATAAGAAAAACCAAAAACATACCAATGGGGGTTCCAGCAGGTCTGATCTCATTTGGCAATAATTCATCTCCTTCAGGCCAAGTCACTGACAATCTATCAGGGAGTCTATTATTAAAACAGCATATTAATGTTTCATGAAATGTGTTAATTATGGTCTTATTTTTTAAAATAAAAGTTATTAGAAACTTAAAAGTTCTTATTTTTTTCCCCAACAGTTAAATCTGAAATTTTTTCCAACAGTTAAATCTGAAACTCCAAACCCTTAATCACTGCTGTGGCTGCAAAGTAAAACAAAATCTCTTGGTGTTAAGAGACAGGAATTATCCCCCTTTTTTGAGATTTTTCTACTAATCTGTAGTACAAGCTACCTTTGGGAGAAAGGATAACTCTACAAACAGAAGAATTACCAGTGAGTTCAGTAAGAATCAAAGTAACTGCATTGTTAGCTACACAAAAACCACAGTTTTGTTTTTTGACTTTTTACTTCTTTTGCTCCTATCTTTACCTCTCACCATTTTCTTCTAGTTACAGGGCAAAGTCATTGCTTTTTAACAAACTTAATCATAGTGCTGATAACAGTGACACTGTAAGTGTAAGCTTCCTTATTTTTCTATAAGACAAATGCAGGATTCTGTTTTGATAGCTAGAGCACTTTTTTTTAACAGCAAGAAGTTCGTCACAATACATACATCTAAGACTACAAGTGCCTAAATACAAAAGCATAATGCCACACTCAATAATAACTAAAAGGACAATTGCTCTTCAATTTGTCATTTTTTACCATGCATCTTGAAACATAAATTACCTTGCCATTTCATCTTCTACATATTTTTTCACGGCTTTCTCAGCAACTGTCCTATCCAGCTTTGCAATTGGCACAGTTTTTATTTCATCATACAGTGCCTGAGGTTCCTGAATAAGTAAAATTTATACCAACATTTCAAAAAGCTATTTAAATTTAGTCGCAACAAGAATATTGATTTCTTTCAAAAAATATTTTTACCCTAATTAAGTAGATAAATCATAATAACTATTATTATATTACACCACAGTGTTTATTTCCATTTTTCAGATAAACACCCTAGGCCTAATTAAATACCATTCAAATCTTAACAAGAGCATAGTATAAGGAAGGATAAAGGGCCTCCCTGGTGGTTCAGACGGTAAAGAATTTGCCTGTAGGAGACCAGTGTTCGATCCGTGCGTTGGGAAGATCCCCTGGAGAAGGGAATGGCTGCCCACTCCAGTATTCTTGCCTGGAGAATTCCACGAACAGAGGAGCATGGCGGGCTACAAGCCCATGGGGTCACAAAGAGTCAGACACAACTGAGCAACTAACACTTCTTCATAAGGATAAAGCCCACTCTAATTTTGTTTTTCATTCTTGAGATAGAAGTCTGGCTCCAATGTTTATGTTTATGAGTCTTGAATGAAATGTGCACTTTAAAAGTACTGTGAAATTGGCAGTAATCTTGTAGCATCTGTTAAACACTAGGCACATAGATGTTAAGTTCTACAAACTACTAAAAACATCAAATATGAAACATAAAAATTCATGCTCCCATTCCTGTAACCAATGGAAAAGCCAAATACAAGTCAAAACAGAATAATGTATCTTTATTTTAAGAATTAAGCAAAATAAAGTAGTAATACCAAGAGACTCTGAAGAATATTTTGGGTTATTTGGGGATCTTACCATTGCAATTTGAACCTCTCCTCCTGTAGCATATACTTCTCCATCATGATCACCATAGAGAAAAAATTTCACAATGCTTCCATAAAAGAGAGGAAGTGTCTTGATTGTCTTGACCTAACATTCAGTTTTAAAACAAGGATTTAGCATTAATATTTACTTAGAAAAACAGGTTTAACAATTACTTAACAGAACTATTTTATACAAGGGGAAAAACCCAGCATCTATTATTAGAAAAATTTAATGAAAAAAAGCATTCTATAAAGTTATATTTGTGAAGCTCTCCACTTATTTGTAACATCTTTGCAAAGACAGTAGCTTCTTCATACAAAAATGTCATAGTTATGCATTTGTCTAAAAGGTCCATAATGCCTTCAAATGAATGCAAGCTGTCTCAAATCCCCATAAAATGGTGCTTACAGGCTGTGAACAGTGACTTACAAAGTTATTGTTTCTTTCCAATAAATTAGCTCAAAACTTATCTATATTATTTTTTTTCCTTACCTGGCCTGAAAACACCAGTAATTTCCACTAGTCCAATTCAAAACTTCTCAACTACAAGGACAGCAAAAATTTATATCAAATCTATCCTCCAGCCTCATTTCACTTCTGAACTATTTCTCTTCACATGTAACAGTCTGCAGCAACCCAGTCCTGCTGCTTTTCCTGATCACTCCCTCCTTGTAACTTCCACTTGACTTCACGGATACCTTATTTTCCTGGTTCCCTTCTCTCTCACCATTTTATCCCTTTCTTTCTCCTCTGTCAGCTCCTCCTCTTCATTTTCTAGCTTCTAACTGTTGGAAAAGCAGGCTCAAGCCACACTCACTACTTCACGGTGACCACATCTGATTCCAAAGCTTTCGTTATATGATGATGAGAGTGTCACATTTGTGGGTTTATTACTACCTTCATAATAAACCCACTTCATAATAAACCCACTCTGGGCTTCCCAGGTAGCTCAAAGGGTAAAGAATCTGCCTGCAATGCAGGAGACCTTGGCTTAATCCCTGGGTCAGGAAGACCCCCTGGATAAGGGCATGGCAACCAATTCCAACATTCTTGCCTGGAAAATTCCATGGACAGAGGAGCCTGGTGGGCTCCAGTCCATGGGGTCGCAAAGAGTCAGACACAACTGAGCAATGTAAAGTTAAGTTAGTTACCTTCATAATTACCTCTGTAAACCTGAGCCACTACCTCTTTTAAGTTCCACACAAAAGTCACTTCATGCACAAAGAATTGTGTGATTTATTCTCTTATTCCAGGCCCATCCGAAGTCAGAAAATTCTCTCCTTCTAAACTATGACAGCACTACTCATTCTCTCTCTTCAGTGATTCTTAGGTCATCTCTATTTTCATGTCATAACAGCCTGAAGGACACAGGACACCCCTAGATCTCTATAATCTCCATAACGCCATCAACAGCACAGTAACTTACAAGCTGCAGACACTAAAAAATTTGATGAAAAACCATTTCTTTATATCACATTAAAAAAACAAACCAGATTCTCTATTTGAGTATAGTGAAGTACAAGAAACAATAAAAATTTTGTTAACTGAGCCTTTGGCAAAAATTGTTTTGTTTTTTTTTCTTAATGTCCTATTAAACTACATAGTTATAATCAATCTGGCCTTTCCTTTCTTTTTTGGCTCCTAAGGAGACAAGACTACCCACATTAGTTTTGGTTGTTGACAAATTCTAATAACTCTAATTTAGTTTCAAATTCTACTAAAAATTAAACCTAAAAATAAGTTAAACTTACCAGCTGTCCTGCTTTGTATATTTTTCCATCCCATTCTATCGCTGAGTAAGTGGCCCAGGGGCCCTGCTTTTTAGAAGGAAGATCAGGACGTGTAATTACTCCTTTAAAAAGGGTGAATTTTATTTGTTTGTCATACTTTTCATGGCAGTCCTTCAGCCATAAAGCAAACTCTCTGTCAATTTTCATTCGCTGCTCCTGTAAAATTTTAAAATGTTCCACAAAACTTAGCTACTCATAAACAAATACAACCACAGACACTTCTTGTTCCATTTCATGTTTCCTTCCAAATACCCACCCACCCCAGAAAACCAAATAAAAAACTAAAATATTTTAATGGCTCTTTCTCCCATACAAATTTAGATTTGTACCAACACATCACTAAAGAAAAAAAATCTTTGCTATCATCCTTGGTCCACAGGGTCGCAAAGAGTTGCACATGACTGAAGCCAACTGAGCACACACTTGGATCTAAAGTTTCAATGGTCAATATCAACATAGATTTCCTTCTCTATTTTAAACCCTAGGATACACCCCCCCCCCAAAAAAAAAAGATAAACACTGCCTGCCGTGGAGAAGGAGAACTAACTGATAGGGGAAAAGGGTAAGTGGAAACCTTCTTAATGTGAAACACACACACTCCAACAGGGAAATAAAAAGACTTTTATATATTAAGCACAGATTTAAACATAGATATGGTATATCTACTGTAATAAAATGTCTTGGGCAGTTATTTGGGGAGAAAAGGTCAAAAAGGCTCTTTTATAAGGTGACAATGAAAAAAAGGTTGAGAAACATAGCTATGGCAAAACATATTTTTAAAAAAATTATGCTTTATACATTTATTCAAAAATAGATCATAAAATAAAAACTGCCTTCTTGTAATACATAAAAAGAAAATGTGTTATTGCTTATCATCCTTCACTCTGCTGAGAGACACTAGAGATTTACACTCCAGTCTAAGCTGCTATACACTGGTTTAATGCTTGTCTTTAGGAGAAGGAGTAGGGGAAGATAATCACATTACATGCTTTCACAGAAGACAAAGCATAAAGTTACAGAAGTTCATTTCCTCTGTACACCTTACTCCACAATCCACCATTTTCAAATGAAAATGGGGCAAAATTAAAACTGATTTCAGCTTAAGTTTTTGCAACTTGCAGTCAGATGACCAGTATATTAATCATTAAAAAAAATTAGATTTTAAAAAGTTACTCAAATAAGAAATACATATACATGGTAAACACCAAAAAATGGCATATATTTTTCAAGGAAACTTTCCCCCTAATCCGTTCCCAGGTACCAACTCCTTCCTGAATCAGTAGTATTGTTACTTTGACAACTTGACAACAGTATTAAAATTATTAACTAGGAATGAAACTGTCTGCCTACCAAATTTTTATGCTGTATTTCAGTCTCAGCCCTCATCTGTAGAAGATAAAATTACATCAGATTCAGAATCGTTTTTATTAAGAGCAAAATGAATGTCAACATGTTATAGGGATACACAAATACTGTGTTATATATTGTGTTTACTGTCCAGCAACTTTAAGTTTAAATAAATGCATCCATCTCTTCACAACTTAACATTACAGTACTGAAAGAGTAGCATCAAGTAAAAGTTTCTGATGTGTTTAGGCAAAAGGAAAGTACACCAACTTCATTCAACTTTTAAAAAAAATTTATCATTCTTTTTCTATTGATTAAAGCAGATTTTAATAGTGATCAATCTCAAATCACCTTTTAGCCCAAAGTATTTCACAGTTCTACCTAAATTTTACCCCCAAAGTTAGATTAAAGTTGTATATTTAAGGTTACTAATATACAAACAAAGCCTCTCTATTAGAAACAATTCTTATTTGCTCTTAGCAAACAGACATGCTTCTGAAGATTCTATTCACCATGTCAAGGTATTAATGAAAATCTGACTAAGTTTTATCCCAGTAAGAGCTAATCAGTTTGAAATTTTTGAGTGAACACATAAATGCTCATGGACTAAAATGTATATTCTTTTGAGTAAATAAAATGAAAAGTATGCAAATTGCCAGTACAAATCTACACTACAAGTGACTTTTGTTGAACTTAAAATAGAACACTTCTGCAAATATTCAAAACTTGATATTTAAAATCATACCTGTCCATTTAAAATCCTTGTAAAAAGGGTGTTCTTGTCTTTCAGTTTTAGCTCAAGATCCATAAAGGTCAGTTTATTTGTGCTGACCTGGAATTTGTCATTAGTAAATAATGCACCAGATATCCTATTGTAGCACTCAAAAGGCGCAAGCCCTCTCTTCTTAGGAGGAGTACACCAGTCAAAGCTTGAATAGAACAAAATACTGGTTAGTAAAAAGATAAGATCATAAAACAATGTAATCTCAGCAAAAATCAGAACTTACTCTTCAACAGATGTATATGGTATTAGCCGTCCATTCCAAAAACATTCAAAAATAGGCCTTTTCCCTCTTGCTGCTTTCTCAAGTATGAAACAGTCATCATCATCATCTTCATCTTTTAATTCTAGGACAAAGGAACAAGTGGAACAAATAATTTTTACCACTGAGAAATCAGTTTCCATAAATGAAATGTTAAAGCTTCTTCGGAGAAATGGTAACAAAAATTCTTATGATCTTTAACACTGTGTTCTGTAAAACCTAAAACTACCTTTATTCTGTTTGCCCTCAAAAAGACAGATTTTCAAAGTGGCTCCACATTACCAACAGTGATTCTCATTAAAAAGCAGTAATTACATACTCATGAATCTGTGTTAAGATTACTATACTAGCTATTGAGCCTGCCATCTGTAAAACCTATTTATAAATACGGGAGCTTGAATTTTGTACCTAAATCTAATCTCACAACTCTGTCGGAACCAGTACACTCACATATCATCTGGAAAATCTACGATGTCTAGAAACAGCAAGTTTGCTTAGCGTGGACAAATTAATAATACTAATTCAAGTTTACATTATGATACAGTTATATCCTACGCTATAAAGCACAACCGTCTACAACATCCTTTTCATATATTCAGATAAATTAGATTCAAGCATTATGGTCTTGATATAGTAATACCTCAGTTATTCTGGCATTAAGTCATTCCCCCTGACCCCCAATAAAGTCTTTTTCTCCAAAAAAAATCTTCACAAGAAGTTCATAAGTAAAAGTTCCTTCCGATCAAAACATTTCACTTGCTCTTAGCGAACCCCTCTGATCATCATACAATTAATTGGCTATTATTTTAAGACATCATTTTTAAGAACTTTAGCTTTTTGTCTATAAGCATATCAAAATCACAAATGACAAATGAAAAACAGGCCAGAGACTACATGGGAGACAGAGTCACTACGTAATAATGTGTATGAACACTTACTAAATAGAGTCAGGTACTATTCTAAGGACTAGAAACAGTCTCTTATTCAACCCCTACAACATGTCTATGAGGCAAGAATTATTATAAGAATTATTATTCCCCATTACACAGATACTAAAGCAGTAGTTTGTCAAATTTTATACAATAGAAAGTGGCAAAGACAGGATTCAAATCAGGAAATCTGGTTCCAAAACACAATACTAAGGATATACTAAGGAACTATCCTGAATGAGAAAATGTAACACTGTTAATCTATGAAAATTGAATGTGACTCCGATAATCCCATTAGAAAATTGTTATTCAAAGTACAGTACAAAGTGATTCCAAAGGTTATCTAGAAGAGCAAAATACTAAGAATCATGAATTTTCTCAAAAAAGAACAATAGTGTCTTGTCCTACTGATATCAATATACACTATAAAGGACAAGAGATTCACTATAAAGGACATGTTATTCATGTATAAAAACATAAAACATATCAATGCCTTATAGCAAATGATCCAGGTTCTATGTACTTATGGGAACTTCATATTATTATGAAAGTGATATATAACATTCAATAATTGGTACTAGGAAACTGGAAACCCACATGGAAAATATTAAGTTAATCCTCAAACAAAATAGAAGATTACAGGTATATTAAAGATATAAACATAAAATGATAAAAGCTACAGAATCTATTAAAAAAATCATAAAAAATGAGATGTACGAAGCCTTTCTACAGCAAGGCCTATCAGAAAACATAAAGAAAAAAACCAATGTGACTACATAAAGTTTAAAACTACTTTATAAATATCTACAAAGATAACAGGAAGACAACATGGGGAATAGATAAAGGATTACTATAGGGTACATAGCTAAAAGTTCAGTTCAGTAAGAGAAGTATGATATAAGAACATATAACGTTTCTTAGAGCAACTGTTTTATTTATCTGGATGTGAATATACACAAAAATTAATAATTATAAAAACTACAACTACCTTAGCAACTTAAGACCTGCATGAGGAAAAAACGCTTTAAAATTTATCTAACCTTAGGCCTAACTGTTAAGAAAATAAATCATTATCCTAAATCACAACTTTGTTATTTTGTAGCTAAGGTAACAGATTAACATACTTGATGGAAAACATGGATCATCAGGGTAGGTTTCTCTATCATATAAGAAAGGGTGATATCGGATAATCCCTTCCACTACACCATCTCCTTCAACATGAGCCTTGAACTCAAAACTATCGGCTGCTGTATTTATATACAATGTTTGCATGTCATCTTGTATTCCCCTCAGGTTGATAATCTTAGGTGTCTTCCCCTTTTCAAACATAGAAATCTAAAATAAAAATAAAACAAAAACAATTAAGTTCGACAGTGACTGCACTTTTGTTCTCATCTATGATCCAACAACAGAAAGGCAAAAACTATTTTTATCTGTATAAATAATCATCTAGCTTAACAAAATACATATATATATTTCTATCTCGGTTAAATAGGTCTAAGGAGTGTCTTAATTAAGAAATATATTACTAAAAAACTGAAAGTAAGCAAAGAAACAGCTGAAGGATATATAAGTCACGAGTTTATTTCATTCAAGCTTTCCTGCTAGAGGTGCGTCTGTCTGTGCACTCAGTCATGTCCGATTTTTTGCAACCCCATGGACTGTAGCCTTCCAGGATCCTCTGTCCATGGAATTCTCCAGGCAAGAATACTGGAGTGGGTTGCCATTTCCTACTCCAGGGGATCTTCCTGACCCAGGGACAGAACTCGCATCTCTTGTGTCTCCTGCACTGGCAGGTTGATTCTTTACCACTGGCATCACCTGGGAAGCCCTAGAAGTAGGAAGTAGGATAAATCCGTACAAGAAATTCCACCTGACATGTGGGCAAGGATACTGAGAACTCAACATTCAAATGTTCTGTTCTAAATCTTACTTATTTTTTTCTTATTAAGAGACTTCTGTGAACAAAAGGGAAACTATTTATGTCTTTTCTTCCCTGCTTTTGAGACATGACATTCAGTAATGGTTCATATCTCTATAGAAGACAAAGAAAATAGAAACCAGATACTATAGTAAATAAGATATCCAGAAAAGTACACCTTAGGAATAATCTCTTTACTTAGACATCAAACAAGAAAAATGGTTTGGTAAAAGACAAGGACAGAGAAGTTGCCTATTTACTGATTGACTTTTCTTATCCAGATTAACTTGGAACTAGAACACAGACCTAATACTTAACAATACTTTAAGAAAGAATTTATCTTACTTCAATATCAATGTTGTTGAAAGGTCCAGCTTCCTTTGATATATGTTTTTCATTCCCTTTTGGACCATGGATGTAATAATGATAAATATGTCTAAAATATAAAAAAATAACTTTATACTTTTAATTCACATAAAACTACAGTTCATCCAATCTTCTACCACAAAAACTTTATTACTACTATTTGGCAGTACCTACTAGGTGCCACGAACAATATTAAGCATTTTTAAACATAGTAAACCACATAATGGTAAAAACAATCGTAAGATTCAGGTATTACTTCCCCTCATTTTATAAATACAGAAGTTGGGAATGCCAAGATAATTATATAATTTACTTACGGTCACAGAATTAGAGTGTGAAGAGATTCAAGCCAAGTCTTTTCAACTTCAAATCCCACATACTTGAAGTGTATTTTACCAAAAAAAACTAAAACTACAAGGTAAGAGGCTATAATTCTACTTGCCATGGATTTTCTAGAAAAGACTCAAAAATCAGGGAGTATACACAATTGGGTATCTTTAACTTTTGTCCCCAACATGAGAGTATCATTCTGTCTCATCTTTCTTCTCCTGTAGAAATGAAACAATCTTATGCCAATACTCCTAAAATTAATAAATTCAGCATCATTCCATCAAAAACTACCACTTCAGAAATTTTTGCTATTTTATTTTGGAAAATGTTTAAAAAGATTATACTCTGGGGAAATTATTCACATCTCTTCATATCACATAGCCCATCTGTAATCATTCCTCAAGCAGTAGTATTAAATATTCCTTCATACAAACTTTATCTTTTCAAAATTACACTAATTGTCCTAGTTTAAAACACTACTAAAATACAAAGAAATCATTGAAAATCTTGAGATCTTCCTTCCAACATCTCAAAAGTGTTAACATCGTCAGTTGACAAGCATACATTAAGCAACTGTGCTATAAATAGCTTACCAAGTGTGTGCTTCTATGTCATTCTTTTTAAGAACAAGAGTTATGTTATTATGTACACTGAGTTTTTTCAGTTAAGAGAAACAATAAAATAGCTAATAAATAGTCCAAAGTCCTATTTAAAACTGTTACAGGGCCAATAAACATCAGTATTCAAGAAAAAAGGCATCCCAAAAATCAAATTTATTTCTTCATAAAAATTTTTAACTGTTAATATTTATGTCCAAAACAGAATCTTAACAGCCCTTGAATAAGTAGAAAAAATATGAGACGAAACCTTATTTAAAAACATGAATTTTGTACAGCATACCCACTTTTGTGAGACTAATTCAGGCTAATACAAATTATGGACAATCCAGTCTATACCATGTAACTACAGAGAAAAAACTTAACAACCTTAAATATATATACTTCTGATTTGATCTAACAGAATATGTACCCCCTAAAAGTCTTCCTCAAGTAGATACACAAAGATTTATTTTTAGATTACTCATTTCATATAGCACATATGCATATTTTTATTTTAACAGACTTAATATATTCATTCAATAAACTTTTACTGAGCAACTACAATGTTAGTTAGTACAATGGACACACTGGGGATATAACAGTGCATAAAAAACAACAAACATTCCAAGGTGGCAGGCAGACAAAAAAAAAGTAAAACACATGGATTATAATCCATGCTGCATAGCAAAAGCACAAAAGGGGGACCTGGGATTGATTAGCTGAATTGGATAAACTCTTAAGTTTATTTTAAATGTTATTACAGTTGTCAAAAAGCATGGGCCTCTTATTCGTAATGACCAATATATTACAGGTATGCTAAGTTGTTTTAATCATGTCCAACTCTTTGTGACCCTATGGACTGTAGCCTACCAGGCTCCTCTGTCCATGGGCTTCTCCAGGCAAGATACTGGAGTGGGTTGCCATTCCCTTCTCCAGGGGATCTTCTTGACCCAAGGATCGAACCTGCATCTCCTGTGGCACATGCATCTCCTGTGGCTCCTGCATCACAGTCAGGCAGATTCTTAACCACTGAGCCCCTGGGGAAGCCAAGTGACCAGTAAATATGTACAGAATAGAGAACTATTTTGATAGCTAACATCAGAGTAATGGTTCCTATGCTGAGGGAAGAAATGGGATAGGATCAAAGAAGACAGCTAAGAGGTCTCAATGTATCTGTAATATTTTCTTTTCTTTTTTTTTTAAAATATTTTCTATCTTAAAAAAAGGTAAGAAAAAACATGTCCTGGATCAAATGTGAATACTTACGCTAACTGTCTGGTCCAAAGATGGAAATAATTTTTCAAGTACTGTATGTGTTCTGGTTGTACCCCTGTGATAACCACAGCAGTAAAGCTATCTTTTTCCTTCTCCTCTGTGATAAGATGATGTAGAAATCGTTCATCATCATTTGTAATGTGACTAGAATCAGACGGCTACAAGAGTGAACATAAGTAAAGATTACATGCACCTGAAATGTAGTTAACAAACAAAGTTTACATCAACCTTTAACATTCACTTGGATAATTTCAAATACAGGCTTCAAAAATCTTTTGGAAGAAAATCACCAAATACAAATCAGCTGAGTGTGTGATAAAGTTGTGAGGACAGAGAGCCTTTTACAGACATTGCTAAACTGGCAAACAAAAAGGAGAATCCTACACCATAATGCTAAACCAATTGTAGAATCATATAAAAAAGGGAAAAGAAAAATGAATACTGAATTTAAAAATACCTCCCAAATTGAGAACACTTACCCTAAAGTGGACTGAGTCCTTGCCTGGGGTACCTACCACTGAACTTGGTCAGGACCAATGCCCAGCTAGTCCACACTCAACAAAACTAGGATACAGCGTGAACCCAACTGACTCAGCCCAAAGGCACTGTGTTTAAAAGGGAGTAAAACCATCCTGGGCCCCAGTCCACTTTCAGAGAATATCTATAGTTTGTAGTGGGCTGAGGGGAGAAGGGGAGGGAGGGGTATGTTTGAGGATAAGAATTTAAAACTTCTCTGTTTTTACTATGAGTCTGTATATTAAAAATTGCATGCATATGTATGCATATATGTACTATGTAAGTTGCTGTACACATAAAAACTTACAAAGATAAAGATACACCCTGAACTATTAGGAAAAGTGACTTTGTAATATACACCGTAAGTATTTATAAGTTCCAATTCCTTATAATGGCTATAAAAATTTTAACAGTCTACACAAAGAAAAATTTATAATTAAGATAAAATGTTACACAAAGAAACTAATGGCAACGTCTTCATAATTTTAACAAAATACTTTAAATAAGCTGAATGCCTAACAGAATGGTCAAATTATAGTAAATATAGCCAAAGATACTACAAAACTATAAAGTATATTGTGCACCAAAATATTTTATAAGATGAAGAAGTACTCAAAATACTAATAAGTCAGAACTCAAACTATAAATACACAATAAAGTTAGACTAGGAGAAAATTCAACTAAATATATCATAAGGACTTTTATATGGCATTTGAGACTATTTTTATTTTCTTTACAAAAATTTTTACAATTTACTTTGGAATCAAATTTTTTTTTAAGTTTTACCTTTAAAAAAGGTTTTAAAATCTGAAAACGTTTCAAAGTTGAATGAGTAATACAACAAACACCATGTGCTCACCACGATTCAAATTTATTAACGTTACACTTATTAAAATGAGAGTTTGAATGCAAATTTAATCACTGTTTTCTACTTCTGTGATTATTATACAATAAATACTTAAAAACTCAAACTCAGCAAGGAAACAGTTTATAATCTTATGAACAATTTCCAGGAAGCTGAATTGGCTATATGGGAAAAGTTATTTTCTGAAGACTTCAGCCTGAGAAAGCACACAAATGATCACTTTTGCTATTCACAAAATTAAAAGAAAATAAAAATTTAATTTGAAAATTCCATATTTTCAAGTTTTAAAAATAACATTAGCATCTTAGAAACTGAAAAAAAATGTTCTTGTCCCATCATCCATCCAAGGTATAAATTTACAATTAATACCAAAAAATAAAAAATAATTTTAAAAAATTTACAATTAATGAGTTAAAATGTACTGTACCTTTCTGTTTCTAATAAATCCGCTATATATTGCCTCTTTATTTTTCTCTTTCTTCTCAAAATCTTCTTTAGAAAGTAAAAGTTCATGAACATCCTGGGAGTCTGCAGGCTTACTTATCATCTGTTAAATATTAAAAAGATTACCTTTTAAATTCGCAAAATTTAAAACAAATAATACAATTAGACAGTTAACTTCAAAATATTTTGACCAACTTTCACTTTTAAGAAATCTTTTTTACTTACTCTGGCTGACTGTCCAACAAAGAAAACAGCCTGCTTGCCCCCAACACCAAAATAGGAAATATCACTATTTAAACTGCGAGGTACTGGCAGTGGTCGAACATATCCTGAATGATCACTAAAATAAAACATTACATTAATGCAGTGATATTAAACAAACGACTCAGGTGCTAAAGAAAACTGTTACAGCACTTTTATTAAGAGTTAATAAAATGATCCCCAAACCAGATAATACCCCTATTCAAATGTAAAAGAATCAGAGCCAAAAGCCAAAACAGCATCTAGTTCAAAGGCTCTCAAAGTTTGTCACCCAGGCCAGCTGCATCAGTAAGCCTGGAAACTCTAAGAAATGCAAATTCTTGGTATCACCCTCTTAAATCAGAAAATTTCAAATATCTGTAACTCTACAGTCTTCCCTTCAAAATCCTTTACTCATTCAAAACTCATTAAAATACTGTCTCATAACTAGTGGGAATTACAACAAAGAGATTCTCATTTCCATGTGCTTGCTTCTGCTCTGTCATGTCTGATTCTTTGTGACCCCGTGGACTATAGCCCACCAGGCTCCTCTGTCCGTGTAATTCTCCAGGCAAGAATACTAGAGTGGGTTGCCATGCCCTCCTCCAGGGGATCTTCCCAAGCCAGGGATCAAACCCAGGTCTCCGGCACTGCACGCGGATTCTTTCCTGTCTGAGCCACCAGGGAAGCCCTCTCATTTCCAATGGATCATGAGAAATGAAGAGCTGAGACTCAGCCTCTGATTGCAGCGTAACACCACCGTGGAGAGCAGGCATCCCTGGTCTCTTGAATACTGTCAAGATCTCCAGGGTCACAATTTCCCAATATAAGACACCCACAAAACTGGGGTGAGGCTGGAACCACAACACCAAGTGGAAAGGTCAGAGAACAGAGCTGGCACAGCTGTAAAGAAGAACAGATACACAACAGGAAGAAAAAAAAAAAGAATGAAAAGTATCAAGTGGGACTAAAAACAAAGAACTAAAGGATAATATCTTACACAAATTTAAGTGTAGTTCAAGAAAGAGAGGAGAGAATGAATAATAGCTGCAAATATTCTCAAATCACTAAAAGGCATAGATCCACAGATTCAGACCAAAAGAGCCCAAACAGGATACATAAAAAGAAATCCACTTCACAGTGAATACTAAGAACAAAACAGAGTAACTAGCAAACACTGAGAAGATAAATGGCTTCGCAGGCTTTGATAGCAACAGTATAAGACGGTGGAATATTATCTCCAAAGGGCCAAGAGAAAATGTCAGTAAAGAACTGTGAACGAGGGCTGAATAAAAGAATTTACAGACAAAAACCAAGGGAATTTACCATTAAGAGACTGCTCTAAAGCAATGTTCCTATAAGCATAATCTGACACACAAGGGAATCATAGTATTATCAGTACACAGGTTAATTTTTTAAATATATGTTAAAAAATTTTAATTCTTTGTTAGAAAAAATGTTGTATATAACTTGGGGAATTCCAAGTCATACCTGAAATACTATACAACAGAAGTGTAACTCTGGGAGCCTCCCTTGTGGTCCAGTGGTTGGGAGTCTAGCTGCCAGTATGGGGGACAAAGATTTGATCCGTGGTCCAGGAGGACTCCACATGCCACAAAGCAACTAAGGCCGTGTGCCACAGCTACTGAAGCCCACGTGCCCTAGACCCTGCGCTCTACAACAAAAGACACCAATGCAAGGAGAAGCCCACACATCACAACTAGAGTGGCCCCCACCTCCTCAAACTACATGTGCAACAACAAAGACCAGCAGAGCCACAAAAATAAATATCCAGAAAAACATCTACTTCTGCTTTACTGATTCCACCAAAGCCTTTGACTGTGGATCACAACAAACTGTGGACAATTCTTCAAGAGATGCGAATACCAGACCACCTGACCTGCCTCCTGAGAAATCTGTATGCAGGTCAAGAAGCAACAGTTAGAAATGGACATGGAACAATAGACTGGTTCCAAGTCAAGAAAGGAGTACATCAAGGTATATTGTCACCCTGCTTATTTAACTTATATGCGGAGTACATCATGATAAATGCTGGGCTGGATGAAGCACAAGCTGGAATCAAGATTACCGGGAAAAGTATCAATAACCTCAGATATGCAGATGACACCACCCTTATGGCAGAAAGTGAAGAACTACTAAAGAGCCTCTTGATGAAAGTGAAAGAGGAGAGTGAAAAAGTTGGCTTAAAGCTCAACATTCAGAAAACTAATATCGTGGCATCTGGTCTCATCACGTCATGGCAGATAGATGGGGAAGCAATGGAAACAGTGAGACACTTTATTTTGTGGGGCTCCAAAATCACTGCAGATGGTGACTGCAGCCATGAAATTAAAAGATGCTTATTCCTTGGAAGGAAAGTTATGACCAACCTAGACAGCATAGTAAAAAGCAGAGACATTAGTTTGCCAACAAAGGTCCCTCTAGTCAAGGCTATGGTTTTTCCAGTAGTCATGTATGGGTGTGAGAGTTGGACTATAAAGAAAGCTGAGCGCCAAAGAATTGAAGCTTTTGAACTGTGGTGTTGGAGAAGACTCTTGAGACTCCCTTGGACTGCAAAGAGATCCAACCAGTCCATCCTAAAGGAAATGAGTCCTGAATATTCATTGGAAGGACTGATGCTGAAGCTGAAAGTCCAATACTTCAGCCACCTGATGCGAAGAGCTGACTCATCTGAAAAGACCCTGATGCTGGGAAAGATTGAAGGCGGGAGAAGCGGAAGATAGAGGATGAGATGGTTGGATGGCATCACTGACTCAATGGACATGAGTTTGAGCAAGCTCCGGGACTTGGTGATGGACAGGGAGACCTGGCATACTGCAGTCCACAGGGTCAACAAAGAGTCGGATACGACTGAGCAACTGAACTGAAAACTTTGGGAAGGAAGTGATTAGAGATAAAAGTACTCTAAATTCTTTAATATGGGAGAAGTGAGATGTCTGAAGCTAAATGTGCATTTTTAAATTTCAGAGACAACCAGGAAAATAAACATATAAATTCTAAAATATTAAAAGAGAAAAAACGTAGAACAGTGTTTTCAAAAGCAAAAACAAAAAGTTGCAACCAATTAAAAAAGCAGAAATAACGGGATAAAAGTATTTTAATTGGTATAAAAAGTTTCCACCTATGCATCAATTTCCAAAATAAAGATAACAATGACAAGGTCAAACAATGTCATACTAGACCTACAAAACAAAGCACACAAACAATAAAGCAACTGCCATACACAAACTCAATCTCCACACAACAAAACATAAACCTGCCCCCACACAAAAAAGCATGCATATATACAAACACCCCACACAATATACAAATAAACCACACAACATGTTTGCATATTTACAGTGCTCCAACACACACACAATGTATATAACACCAACAATAAAAAGAACACCTTAAAGAGACAGAGAACAGACACCATATATTCTGAGAAACAAAGCTAAGAATGACAATAGACTTTTCACTGTAAAATATGCAAGTCAGTAGAAAATGGGAGTGGCATTTCTAATGTACTGAAATTTTTTAGAAAGCGAAAGTGAAACTTGCTCAGTCATGTCTGACTCTTTGCAACCCCATGGACTATACAGTTCATGGAATTCTCCAGGCAAAAATACTGGAGTGGGTAGCCTTTCCCTTCTCCAAGGGATCTTCCCAACCCAGGGATTGAACCCAGGTCTCCCGCATTGCAGGCAGATTTTTTCCCAGAGTCAACCTAAAATTCTATACTCAACAAAAATTTCTTTTAAAGGGGGAGAGTAGGGAGAGATCCAGACTTAATCAGATATTCAAAAGCTGAAAAAATTTACTGACAGCAGTCTTGAATTAAAAAAACTGTTGAAAGACCTTCAGAAATGAAAATTATTCTGTGAATTTAAACAAAGGAATGAAGACTACCAGAAATGGTAAATATGTGGGTAAACATAAACTGACTCAGGGACTCAAATTGATGCTTGTATATGAATGTTTACAGCAACACTATTTACAATATGCAAAAAAAGGTAAAAACAAGACAAGTGTCCTTTAACCTATGAATGGAAAAACGTAGTACAGCTGCATAATTCAGCCATAAAAAGGGATGAAGTTCTAATAAAAGCTACAACCTTTCAAAACCTTGAAAACATTATGCTAAGTGATATAAACCAAATGACAAAATGAAATAAAATGACAAATACTGTATGGTTTCTCTTAAATAAGCCACCAAGAACATGCAAATTCACTGAGACAGAAAGTAGAACTGTGGTTATCAGCAGGTGGAGGGGCAGAGAATACAGGGTTATTATTTAATGGGTACAGAGTTCCAGTTTGGGGAACACAAAAAATTTTGAAACTACATAATGGTAATGGTTGTAAAACACTGAATATAATTAATGTCACTGAATAATACACTTTAATGTAATGCTGTATTTTTACCACATTTTTAAGAAAATGACTGTTAGAAAGACACTCATAGAAACAGAGCAGAAAGCTGGTTGACAGAGGCTGGGGAGTGTGGGAAACAGAGGCTGGTAAAAGAGCACAAACTTTCAGCAATAAGATGAGGAGGCCTGAGGAGCTAATGTATATAACATCCTAAGTACAGCCAGTAACACTGTATTGTGCAACTGAAATCTGCTAAGAGAGTAGAACTGTGATAAATTAAAGATGTATACTATGAATCCTAATTACCAGTAAAACAACAGAATAACAGCTAATAAATCAATTAAGGAAATAATGGCGACACACATACACATATACTCAATTTGAAATCAGGCAGAAAAAAGCGAAACAGGGCAAAGGGGATAAATAACAAAGATGGTAAGCAAGCATACTGATAATCATATTAAATGTAACTGGTCTAAAGAAAGTTAAAGTGAAAGTTGCTCAGTCGTGTCCAACTGTTTGTACCCTATGGACTATACAGTCCATGGAATTCTCCAGGCCAGAATACTTGAATGGGTAGCCTTTCCCTTCTCCAGGGGATCTTCCCAACCCAGGGATGGAACCCAGGTCTCCTGCATTGCAGGCGGCTTCTTTACCGAGACACAAGGGAAGCCCAGTTGGTCTAAGCATCTCCATTAAAGGGCAGAGATCATTAAATTTCAA